ACACAGCAGGGCATCTTTTTCATTTTGTTTCACGTTGCGCCACGTACGCGCAGTCCGCTCGAAAATTCTTGTGTGGCAATGCAGTGTTGCCAGCCCAATCAGGTGTGCAGTGGGTTTTTGTGTTGAGCCTTTCGAGCTGGCCTTGTGCTTTGAATTGAAAACAAGGCTGCTTGATGTTTGGTGGACTGAACGACTTTACTTGGGCCGAAGCGCGCGCGCAAGCGGCCGCGATGAAGTCTGAAGCGTTGCAGGCAAAACAATTGAGTGGCGTGTTTTTATGCTGCAATTATGGGTGATGCTACCTAAATCGTTTTTGTTTTTGTTTTGTTTTTTCCTCAATGTGCAACTTGTGTCCGCTTATCCGGCAACTTCCTTTTCCCCCAGAACAATTGCTCACTATTCAACCATTTGTTTTGCCCGCGCTTGATGCATCATGTGGCGGTTGGTTTGAAACATGGAAATGGTTCTACTTTGCTCGACAACATTCAGCCGTATGTTTCCGCATTTTAAAAAGCACATTGCCTACGCAAAGGTTTTCGAGTCAGATTTGGTCACGTGTTCGATGTTCCCAAATTTGTCACCCGATAAACATGGCGTTGCCGCAGAATGTCCATGGGCTTGTTCTTTGAGCATTCCACGTGCACGTCGAATCGAGAAAAAACAACAACGTTGGCTTTTGGCTCTGCAAGCTGAGAGCGCTACTCATTCAGATTCACAGAGTGCTTGGTGCGTGGCTAAGCACCAGCGCGACCCAAGGTCAATTGGATGTTCTGATGTCCAGTTTTTCCCTAGGTCAAGATGCCGAGCATTGAGGAGCTGAAGAAGTTCATCAAGACCCATGAGGTGGGCGGCGGCCAGCGCAAGCCATCGCATGAAAGTGCGACATGTGCAGAATGACGTCGCAACACGTTTGCCCACATTCAGTGTTTTTTTGTCGTCTCGGCATGTGCGCGGTGTCGGCATGCGTTTCTCAATAAATTTGGCACAGATGTAGATGAGCTGAGACGTCAGAAAATTTAGAAAGAGTTTCATGGCTGGGAACTGGTTGACACTGTGAGTGTGCCAGTTTGCTTGAGGTCAAAGTCGATGACATGGAGCAAGAAGTTGCCAACGAGCCTAACAAGAAGAAAAAGAAGGCCACCAGCGTATGGAGTGTTTCGAATGGATTCACCTTTGATTTGTTGCAGGGGGTTCTAAAAACAAGTAACAATCATTTACGCTTTGTTTTCCTGGCAAGGATGATTAGACTAGCGCTTGTCAATCTGACACTTCCTTGTGTGCCAACAAAAATCAACATTTTGCAAAGCGGTACCTGCATAGCAAGGGTTTGGATCCTGATTGCAAGACGCGGCAAATGAAAGAAAACATGTGCTTGCCAGCATCCTGCTTGGGCTCTTGAAGAACTGAGGTGCCATTTGAATCATATTTCCGCATTCTCGGTGCCTGCCTTGGCGTAGGATTTGGAGAATGCATTGAAGAAGCTCCAGAACGATGAGAAGTACCTGAAGGCGCCGTTTGGCGTCGTGTCTTTGCAGCCGCCACGGCAGTCCTAAGGACACAAAGAGCAGTGTCTTATTTTTGCATTTGGTTTCTTATCATCGACTCTTTGTCTCTGTCTCTGTCGTGTCTCTGTCTCTCTCCCCTTCCTGTTCCGTTCTTCTGGTCTCTCTTTCGTCTTCTTTTTCGGGGGACCACGATCATCACAAGGGCTGTCAGCTGGCCGAGGCCAAGGAGGAGGTCAAGGCAGCCGAAGCCCAGGCCCGAGGGATCCGTGACGCACCAAAGTCTGGGCCCTGCATCCACGTGAGGTTTGGTTGGAAACTGAGGGCTTCTAGAGTCACAGAACAACCAAGAAGACCCTCAGTTTTTTGTTTGGCTATTTTTTCTGCCAGAAGCACTCAAAAGACAGTGCCGAGTTTCCCGTTGGAATCTGGGTGTGTCGTAAAAGTTTTTTTTTTTTGGCCCCATTTGCCAGGCCCAGAAAGAGGCCGAGAGGGCTGCACTGTGCCTCGGCTAGCGGTTGGTGATGCTGAGCTCCTGGTCAAGCAACGCTTTGCGGATTTGTCTCAGTATGGGAACTCGGCTTCCAGTCGCTTTGAACAAATTTTTGCCCAACGAGGCGACTAATTGGGGTCCTGCCAGTGAGACGCATGTGACGCAAGGAATGGCAAGGCTACGGACAAGAAGGCTTGAAAGACGGGAAGTGAGAAGTGAGACTTGCGCAACTTGGGGACATTTTTCGTGGAGCTCACTTGTTTTCCGTTGCAGGTCTCCATTTTGATGTTCCGAACAAAACGCAGATTTGTGTGAGAGAAGCTCAGGCTTCAGCACCTGGTTGCGTTTGGAAATTTCCCCCTGCCTCTCAGGCCTTCTTAGACCTGTTGAGGTTCGCTTCCTTCTGAACCATGTTTGAAAAGAAGAGGCCACCATTTTGACAAAACACTCTCAAAGGGGCTAAAAGACTTCCGTTCCCAAGCCGCCTCTTTCTGGTCGCTCGTTTCGCAGCGGGTTCAATCATTCAAGTTCCCATGCTATCCCTGTCAGGCATCCATTCCGCCAAGGGTTCGAAGTGCAGCTACTTCATGTTCCTGAATTGGTGGTTTGGTTTGGAGGCTGCGGTATCATGTAGCTTCCAGTGGCTTCGAGAACCGATCAAACTTCCCTTCCAATCCAAGCCTTTCTCAGGCGGCCGAGAAGGGCAAGAAGAAGGAGGACACCAAAGCGGCTCCCAAGGTGGACGCCAAGGTGGATGAGGCAGGGTCTGGGGCACGGCACAGGGGATGCAGTGTGGGTTTCTTGTGGCTCCGCTGAGTGGTTCTTGGGCAGTTTCTTGCACATGGGGTCACCGCAAGAGTGAGAGGAAACCTGTTGCTCAGCTTGCAAGCCTGTTCTTTTTTTTTTTTTTTCAGATTTGAAGGGTTCTTCTGTAAGAGGTGATGTTGCGGGTCGTAGGGGTGCCCTTGGGGCGTGAGCAAAGTGACGAATTGTGCGTTATTCTCCTGGTGCTCTTGCCCACCCACTTGACAATCCACATGAACAACCCAGCTAGGCCCGCGCGCGTATTTCGGGAGCACCCCGGTGCGTTAGGCCACCTTCAAGGAGATCGACGAGGCCTTTGCGGCCTCCGGCAAGGATGCGGCGGACAAGAAGGCGGGGAGGATTTCCGGATCGTCCAAACGCGGGACTTTGGTAGGCGTTTGCTCCGTGGGTGCGCGCTTGTGGATTCATAGCCCGTGGCGGTGTGGTGGTGTGGTGGGATTGGCGGGGGGGGGGTGGTAAACAAGGCCTCTTTGGTGGAGGAGTCTTCAAGAGACCTTGCGATGCAAGTGTTCAGGGCTTCGCACTAGGTTTCTTGGGCGCGCCGTTCAGGCTGATAATTGTGGGCCTTTGAGACCAGTCGGCAGACACTTGGGCCACTCGCCCTGAAACGAATGTCAACAGAAACAAGCACATTGTTTGGTGTTTTGGGCGACACTGTGCGTTTGTGGCACACATCTGGCCATGCCCCCCGGTGCAATCGGCGAATCGGGCTTGCATGCAACAGCAGCTTTCTATGCCTCCAGCTTGGGGTGAATGATGTTCACCAAAGGATCCCTCCCCCCCAGCTGAAGGGAGGCTCGAAATTGCGTAGGCCACCGCTGTGAGCACTTTGGAGATGCTGGCCGCCGCCACACCCTTCGTGCTGCCCAGGCCGACGCCAAGTAGATTCCGTTTTGAGTGGTGTGGGTTTGACATGCCAGAAGTCCGTTGGGCTTTGACATGTCATCACATCGGATTTGTTTTTGCATTTTGCACGGCATTCCCAGGTTTTTGGCCACTTTGGATTGTTCTCTTTGGTAGTCATGGAGGCTCTTGAAAGTGCTCATTCCGCACCCGGCTTGGTCCACATTGAGTTCGTGGTCTCGAAAGCTCGACCGTTCGTTTGTTTTTTGGGGTGAGTCGGCAACATTATCGTGTGTGTTCAGGAAAAAGTCGGTGGTTCTTCAATTCTCACCACTGCTTTCTTTCTGTCCCTGACTGAGGCGGGGAGATTGCAACAAGTTCTTTCAAGGTCCGTTTTGAAGAGAGGATGACACGGAGGCATGTTCACCGCCTTTCCAAGCATTTGTTTTATGGTGAATTGGCTGTGTGCCAAGAGGCTTGACACCTATTTCTGGTGGTTGAATTTTTGAAGTGGGGCAAGGGAGGGATCACCATTTGAGAAGCCCAATGCCTGAAATGAGATATGGGCAACGCTTGTTGGAGGTTGTCCCAGCTGATCCCCCTCTTTGACAACAGCAAGCTTGCAGCGCCGGCGCTGAAGGCGCTGAGGGATTGGCATTCGCCATGGTTTCCGGTTGCTTTATTGGGAGGGACAAGGGAGGATCTACCACATTTCCCAGCAAACACGTCCGATAAACCGGTCTTATGTTGTGATAGTGGGTTGGCGAAGGGCTATGTCACATTCAGGACCTAGATTCTCTTTGTTGTTTGAAGGCAGCAATGCATATTTTGTTTGGGTCAGCGAATCACCTTTTCCGAGACAATTCCATTTGACCTTGCCCAATTGCAAAGCCAAAGGTCTCTTGGTTCCCTCAAACCTTTACAACTTATGGTCCGTGTGGTCACCCAAACGCCGGTTTTCCATCAAGCAGGTTCATTGCATGAAATGGTCGGGAATGGCAAACCCAACATTGCTAGTTGTGCTGGTCCTTTCGTCTCTCCGGAGAAAGATAGAAAGAGATTGAACAGTGCCAACTTTATCAGCAGATAGCAGCCAAGTTGCAGTTCTTTCTTCGATAGCCCCCACTCTCCAGTAGGAAATGACAGAGTTTGTTTTGCCACTTTCCAGTCTCAGCATCACTTGGGGCACTTCTCCTACTTTTCAGCAAGCTGACTTTGATAGTGGAAAGGACAATGGCATGCGTGCACCTCTCAAAGGCCGCGTTTGGGACTTCCCAAAGCGTATGCCGCAGGCCGCTACAGCCATTGTCCAGAACATCTCGCCCAAGGGCCACGGAGTGGCGGTCGGGGGCCCTGGGAGTCTCAAAGAGGTAGTTTTCCCCAGTCGTGGGACCCTCCCCCCCCCTTTTTGGAGGGTTGCACACATCATTTTGTTGTGTTTCACCAGCGCAGGCTCAGCATACCTGGAGGGTGCGTGCTTGGGGTAAAGGAGCTTGTGGGGTGTGTGGCGAGGTTGATAGGGCAAACAAGAAGTCCGGACAAGACATGCGGAAGATTGGCAGAGAATTCGAGTTGGCTTGCTCCCAGCATGATCAAACAATTTGGCAAAGTCGTGGCTCGTGCGGCCTGGGTCAAGCAAGTCTGGGGACAGGAGTTCGGAGTAATTCGCAGGCGTTCCGTTCAGTGGAGCAGACCTGTTTCATTCCTTCGAGACACGCTCTCATTGGAGGTTGCTCCTGACCATTTTGAAAAGTCCTGAGATCACAGAGACACTGCCATCAAGAAACAGGCAGTCCCAATGGCAGGATGAATTCCCATTCCAGCTGCTTCATTGTTGCCGGCCCGGCAGGTTGCTGCGTGTAGGGCGACGATGCAGTTTGGTCATGCATGGAATGCTGCCTTGGCATGCTGTGCTTAGCATGCTGTGCTTGGCCTGCTGTGCTTGCCCTGCTTGGCCTGTCATGTACTTTGGGCTGTGTGCAGACTGTGGCCTATGTGTGGCTCGAGTGCCTCGCTGCTTGTGCGCTGTGTGGTGAGCAAGCCGCACGATTTTTTTGTCAGGTGGCCCGAGTTACCATGTTTCTTTGCAGTGAAGATTGGCGGAGAATTTGAGTTGGCTTGCTCCCAGCATGTTTCAATCATTTGGCAAAGCCGTGCCTCGTGCGGTCTGCGTCAAGCCAGTCTGGGGACACAGGAGTTCGGAGTAATTCGCAGGCGTTCCGTGCAGTGGAGCAGACCTGTTTCATTCCTTCGAGACACGCTCTCATTGGAGGTTGCTCCTGACCATTTTGAAAAGTCCTGAGATCACCGAGACACTGCCATTAAGAAACAGGCAGTCCCGCTGGCAGGATGCATTCCCATTCCAGCTGCTTCATTGTTGCCGGCCCGGCAGGTTGCTGCGTGTAGGGCGACGATGCAGTTTGGTCATGCATGGAATGCTGCCTTGGCATGCTGTGCTTAGCATGCTGTGCTTGGCCTGCTGTGCTTGCCCTGCTTGGCCTGTCATGTACTTTGGGCTGTGTGCAGACTGTGGCCTATGTGTGGCTCGAGTGCCTCGCTGCTTGTGCGCTGTGTGGTGAGCAAGCCGCACGATTTTTTTGTCAGGTGGCCCGAGTTACCATGTTTCTTTGCAGTGCAGATTGGCGGAGAATTCGAGTTGGCTTGCTCCCAGCATGTTTCAATCATTTGGCAAAGCCGTGCCTCTTGCGGCCTGCGTCAAGCCAGTCTGGGGACACAGGAGTTCGGACTAATTCGCAGGCGGTCCGTTCAGTGGAGCAGACCTGTTTCATTCCTTCGAGACACCTCATTGGAGGTTGCTCCTGACCATTTTGAAAAGTCCTGAGATCACAGAGACACTGCCATCAAGAAACAGGCAGTCCCGCTGGCAGGATGCATTCCCATTCCAGCTGCTTCATTGTTGCCGGCCCGGCAGGTTGCTGCGTGTAGGGCGACGATGCAGTTTGGTCATGCATGGAATGCTGCCTTGGCATGCTGTGCTTAGCATGCTGTGCTTGGCCTGCTGTGCTTGCCCTGCTTGGCCTGGCATGTACTTAGGGCTGTGTGCAGACTGTGGGCTATGTGTGGCTCGAGTGCCTCGCTGCTTGTGCGCTGTTTGGTGAGCAAGCCACACCATGTTTTTTGTCAGGTGGCCCGAGTTACCATGTTTCTTTGCATATCGCCTAGTGCACATCTCTGCATGGCTGTGCAAAGCTTTGTGATACCACGTGGTTTGCTGAGAAGTTTAATTTCTCACAGCAGGGTGGATAAACAAGTTTCGGAGCCACTGCTTGCCGTTTGCGGACAGCCAGAGGGAAGATTGACGGAGAATTGGAGTTGGTTTGCTCCCAACATGTTTCAATCATTTGGCAAAGCCGTGCCTCGTGCGGCCTGCGTCAAGCAAGTCTGGGGACACAGGAGTTCGGACTAATTCGCAGGCGGTCCGTTCAGTGGAGCAGACCTGTTTCATTCCTTCGAGACACGCTCTCATTGGAGGTTGCTCCTGACCATTTTGAAAAGTCCTGAGATCACAGAGACACTGCCATCAAGAAACAGGCAGTCCCAATGGCAGGATGAATTCCCATTCCAGCTGCTTCATTGTTGCCGGCCCGGCAGGTTGCTGCGTGTAGGGCGACGATGCAGTTTGGTCATGCATGGAATGCTGCCTTGGCATGCTGTGCTTAGCATGCTGTGCTTGGCCTGCTGTGCTTGCCCTGCTTGGCCTGTCATGTACTTTGGGCTGTGTGCAGACTGTGGCCTATGTGTGGCTCGAGTGCCTCGCTGCTTGTGCGCTGTGTGGTGAGCAAGCCGCACGATTTTTTTGTCAGGTGGCCCGAGTTACCATGTTTCTTTGCAGTGAAGATTGGCGGAGAATTTGAGTTGGCTTGCTCCCAGCATGTTTCAATCATTTGGCAAAGCCGTGCCTCGTGCGGCCTGCGTCAAGCCAGTCTGGGGACACAGGAGTTCGGAGTAATTCGCAGGCGTTCCGTGCAGTGGAGCAGACCTGTTTCATTCCTTCGAGACACGCTCTCATTGGAGGTTGCTCCTGACCATTTTGAAAAGTCCTGAGATCACAGAGACACTGCCATTAAGAAACAGGCAGTCCCGCTGGCAGGATGCATTCCCATTCCAGCTGCTTCATTGTTGCCGGCCCGGCAGGTTGCTGCGTGTAGGGCGACGATGCAGTTTGGTCATGCATGGAATGCTGCCTTGGCATGCTGTGCTTAGCATGCTGTGCTTGGCCTGCTGTGCTTGCCCTGCTTGGCCTGTCATGTACTTTGTGCTGTGTGCAGACTGTGGCCTATGTGTGGCTCGAGTGCCTCGCTGCTTGTGCGCTGTGTGGTGAGCAAGCCGCACGATTTTTTTGTCAGGTGGCCCGAGTTACCATGTTTCTTTGCAGTGCAGATTGGCGGAGAATTCGAGTTGGCTTGCTCCCAGCATGTTTCAATCATTTGGCAAAGCCGTGCCTCTTGCGGCCTGCGTCAAGCCAGTCTGGGGACACAGGAGTTCGGACTAATTCGCAGGCGGTCCGTTCAGTGGAGCAGACCTGTTTCATTCCTTCGAGACACGCTCTCATTGGAGGTTGCTCCTGACCATTTTGAAAAGTCCTGAGATCACAGAGACACTGCCATCAAGAAACAGGCAGTCCCGCTGGCAGGATGCATTCCCATTCCAGCTGCTTCATTGTTGCCGGCCCGGCAGGTTGCTGCGTGTAGGGCGACGATGCAGTTTGGTCATGCATGGAATGCTGCCTTGGCATGCTGTGCTTAGCATGCTGTGCTTGGCCTGCTGTGCTTGCCCTGCTTGGCCTGGCATGTACTTAGGGCTGTGTGCAGACTGTGGGCTATGTGTGGCTCGAGTGCCTCGCTGCTTGTGCGCTGTTTGGTGAGCAAGCCACACCATGTTTTTTGTCAGGTGGCCCGAGTTACCATGTTTCTTTGCATATCGCCTAGTGCACATCTCTGCATGGCTGTGCAAAGCTTTGTGATACCACGTGGTTTGCTGAGAAGTTTAATTTCTCACAGCAGGGTGGATAAACAAGTTTCGGAGCCACTGCTTGCCGTTTGCGGACAGCCAGAGGGAAGATTGACGGAGAATTGGAGTTGGTTTGCTCCCAACATGTTTCAATCATTTGGCAAAGCCGTGCCTCGTGCGGCCTGCGTCAAGCAAGTCTGGGGACACAGGAGTTCGGAGTAATTCGCAGGCGTTCCCCTCAGTGGAGCGGACCTGTTTCATTCCTTCGAGACAAGGCAAGCCATTTTTGTAGCACTCCTTTGTTACTACACTTATTCGATGACAAATGACCTTGTGCGCAGGTGGCCATGATTTGCACATTCCCTTTGCTACCTGTTTTGAGCATCTTTCTTCTGATCGTTTTGGCAAATCAGACGCCCTTTCTCGCCCTTGGCACGCAGGACTTGGTGATCCCGCAGCTGCTGGCCGGCATCGAGGACAAGAAGTGGAAGGTGAAGGCAGGCTGCATCCAGGCGGGGCGAGCTCGAGCCACGACCAACCACCAAAAGTCGGGACGTTTGCTAGAGCTCAGTTGGACAAAAGATGAGCCGAACGTAAGAGCGTAAGAGAGCACTTCCAACCAGCTGTGGCCATCCGTTTCTTGAAACCATACTCGGGTCCGGGAGTCCGGCCAGGTGCTGCTGCCGGCCATGCAGCAAATGGAGGGCACCACCACAGTGCAGCTGGCGCAGTGCCTGCCCTCCATCGTGGCCAAGTTGGCGGAGGCGTTCAGCCGAGACGGTGTGTGGGGGGGGGTGGGGGTGCCGATATTTTTCTGCAAGCTGGAAGGCGCTTATGTGTGGACTGAAGTGTCATGACAGCTGCTTCTAGACGAGTCCACTCACAATCCCGGCCAATGGCCACAAACCCACACCTTCAACATTCATAATATATGAATCTAGACAGTTTCCTTCTTAAAATATTGAATAGATCCAAAAAATCCAATGTTCCAAGGCTTGAGGAATTTCCCCAACATCATGGCTTCTTTGCAGTGGGGAAACGCCTGGTCAGCCACACATGCAAACATGCGCACCTTCTGAATGAGAAAACAACAGCTGGAGGCCGGGCTGTTACCCACTCCTACCCCACAAAGACAACTATACATGCACTGGGAGGGTTGTCTAGTGGGAGGGCAGCACATGTTGCACCGAGATTTTTACAGACACGGCTCGCTTCACCGAGCCGTTTTAGCGCGGAGGCCGCGCTGGAAGTGCGCGCGGAGATCCGCTCCGCCACAGGCCGGGGAGCAAGCGATCGCGCGCGTCGCTCGAGTGGCGCAAGGCGTGCGCAGAAGGATTGTCAGGAATGGGCTGAATACTGGGCACACGGTCTTGGCCGCTTCCTGGGCCGAAGTTGTCTTCCTCTTGGAACCAGGGCTCATTCCCTCCCTGGTTCCAGGAATTCCATGTCTTGAATGATGGTCAACCATCCAATGGCACCTATCAATGGCTTATCTTAAGGAACCATGATGCTGAGCTACACTGGAAGTTTGACTCATGACTGCCATGGTTGTGCCTTTTCGGTGCGGGACTTCCGTTTTGGCTGGGTAACCAAGAGCAACATCCCCCTGACCTCAGTGAGTGGTTGGATCCAAACCACTGAGGGTTGCATGTTGCATGCTACGCAAAGTCGGGTTTGTTCAATTCGTACCGCTGAATGGTTGACTAGTCCGCGACAAGCAGCACGCTCCCGGAAGGCATGGCAATCGTGTTTTGTCCCCTCTCTCTCTCTCTTCCGCACCAAAAACCCTCGAGGACGAACCAAAAGGAAGCCAACATTTCGGAACTCCGAAAGTTTCGGAGTCGTATCTTAGGCGCTGTCCTCAAGGAGATCGGTGCCTTCGTGGCCAGCCCAGAGATCAAGGCACGCGTGTGCCAAGGATCATGCTTTATTGAGGGGTGACTACCCCGTCGAGTTGCACTTCAAGGGATGGTCGGGGATGGTTGTCCTAACCTTTTGGCATATTTTGTGTGTGTGTGTGTGAGTGTTCCTGGGAGACTGCGGCGAGGGGTGCTGGTTTTCCTGAGGAATGGGAACAAATCCTTCTATGCCGTGGGGTTGGCTGTTGTCGGCAGCAGCTAACTTTTGAGATCCTCCACCGCTCTGCGGCTTGCCCATCTTCAACACGAGCTGGTGCATTTTGCTTGCAACAGTGCTTGGGCTCAAGCGTCAGAATCCGGTGGACCACAGCGAGCCCGCAGTCTCTTCGCTATGCCGCCCTTCACAGTTGAGCAGGTGAGAAGCGTCATGGACAGCACGGAGAGGATCCGGTCCCTGAGCATCATCGCCCACGTGGACCACGGCAAGACCACGCTGGCGGACTCCCTGGTCTCCCGGGCCGGCATCATCAGCGCCAAGGCAGCTGGCGAGAGGCGATTTACACACGGCCGCAAGGATGAATCAAGAGCACGGGGGTTACCCTGCCTTTCGACTACGATGCAGGTGACGGAGCTGTGCCATATTTGGTGAACCTCATCGACTCCCCGGGCCATGTGGACTTCTCCTCCGAGGTCACCGCTGCCTTGCGCATCACCGACGGCGCTGTAGTGGTGGTGGACTGCATCGAGGGCTGTGCAGTGCAGACTGAAACAGTGCTCAGGCAAGCCTTGCAGGAGAGGGTCAAGCCCTGCCTCTTTGTGAACAAGGTTGATCGCTGCATCTTGGAGATGCAGATGGAACCAGAGGACATGTACTTGCGCTTCCGGAATGCTGTAGAGAATGTGAACGTCATCATCGCCACCTACAACGACGCCTCCATGGGAGACTTGCAGGTGCGCCCGGAGGCGGGGAACGTGGCATTCGGCAGCGGTTTGCATGGCTGGGGCTTCACCTTGGAGCACTTCGCGGGGCTTCTGGCGGCCAAGGCGGGTGTGGAGAAGGCGCGGATGATGGACAAGCTCTGGGGTGACAGGTTCTTCCATGCCAAGCGCAAGGTTTGGACCAACCAGCAGCCAGAGGATGCGGAACCGTTGCAACGAGGCTTCTGCCAGTACATCATGACGCCCATTTGCCAATTGGTCCAGGCCATCATGGACAAGGATTCGAAGTACGAGAAGATGATGGACCGCCTTGGCATCGTCTTGAAAGGCGAGGACCGGGAGCTCACCGGGAAGGCGCTCATGAAGCACGTCATGCAGAACTGGCTCAGCTGCGGGGAGTCCTTGCTCTCCATGGTGGTCACCAAGCTGCCATCGCCCAAGGTGGCGCAGCGGTACCGGGTGGAGAACTTGTACGACGGGCCCATGGACGACCAGGCGGCCTTGGCCATTCGCTCCTGCGACCCTGCAGGGCCTCTGATGATGTACGTCTCCAAGATGGTGCCAGCCCCGGACCGAAGCCGCTTCTACGCCTTCGGCCGAGTCTTCTCCGGAACGGTCAGCACCGGGCAGAAGGTTCGCATCCAGGGCCCCCACTACCGGCCTGGAACTAAGGACGACCTGCACGTGAAGGCCATCCAACGCACCGTGCTGATGATGGGTCGCGGCACTGAACCCATCCAGGATGTGCCTTGCGGCAACACTGTGGCATTGGTGGGTGTGGACCAGTACATACTGAAGTCCGGCACCATCACCACCCTGGAGGATGCCCACAACTTCACAGACATGAAGTACAGCGTCTCGCCAGTGGTGAAGGTAGCAGTGAAGCCGAAGGACGGCAAGGACTTGCCCAAGCTGGTGGAGGGCTTGAAGAAGCTCTCGAAGTCTGACCAGCTTGTGGTCTGCAGGACCGAGGAGAGCGGCGAGCACGTCATCGCTGGCTGTGGCGAGCTGCACGTGGAGATCTGTCTTAAGGACCTGAGGGAGGAATTCGCCCAGTGCGACTTCACAGTGTCCGACCCGGTGGTTTCTTACCGCGAGACGGTGACGCAGCAGTCCAGCCAGACCTGCCTGGCCAAGTCAGCAAACAAGCTCAACAGATTATACTTCACCGCAGAGCCACTGCAGGAAGAACTGGCGCAGGCTCTGGAAGATGGCACTTTGGGGCCCAAAGTGGACCCTAAGGTGGGCGCCAAGATTCTGAGCGAGAAGTTCGGCTGGGACAAGCAGCAGGCCCAAAGCAAGATCTGGTGCTATGGCCCCGAAGGGGACGGGCCCAACATGGTGGTGGACTGCACCGTGGGGGCCCAGTACCTGCACGACATCCGAGACTCGGTGACGAGCGCCTTCCAGTGGACCACCAAGGAGGGTGTCTTGTGCGAGGAGAACCTGCGGTCCGTGCGGTTCAACCTCACGGAGGTGATGCTGCATCCGGAGAAGGTGCACCGGGGAGCGGGGCAGATCTCGCCGGCTTTGAGACGCTGCTGCTTCGCCTCCGAGCTCACAGCCAAGCCGACCCTGCAGGAGCCGGTCTTCTTGGTGGAGATCTCATGCCCCAAGGACGCCCTGAGCGGAGTCTATAGCTGCCTGAACCTGCGCAGAGGATGTGTTTTCGAGGAGAACCAGCGAGAGGGCACCCCGATGGTCCAGGTCAAGGCGCATCTGCCGGTGGCGGAGTCCTTTGGCTTCGTGGCCTCTTTGCGGCAAGCCACCAGCGGCCAGGCCTTCCCGCAGTGCGTCTTCGACCACTGGGAGAGTCTGCCAGGCAACTGCCTGGAGAAGGGCAGCAAGATGGAGGAGCTGGTCCTGGGCATCCGCAAGCGCAAGAATCTGAAGCTCCAGATGCCGGTTCTGGGTGACTACCTGGACAAGCTTTGAGCCTTCCACAGGGGCGTGGCCGAAAAACCCGCCGGAGTGCAAGTCGATTCTTCCGAGCCGGGAGCCGTGCTCCCGTCTCAGTTTCCAGGCCGTGAATTCACCTGAAGTGTACAGATCATGGAAGCTTCGCAGCCAGCTTCAGGCGTTGTGCAGAGTCGAGGTCGTCGTTGCATCATGCAACAACCCCTGGTGGATGTGCGAAACAACAACTACACATACTTGGACAATGACACAACCCCCCCATGTTTTTATGATCATGATGTAATCCAACCAAGTGGCACCAAGTCTTCTAAAGGAGTCCGTTCGGGAGCTTTCATGGAATCGCCTGGGGGAGGGTAGTGAGTTTTCCCACAACCGTGACCCACGGTCTTGGTGGCTCACCCGCGTGCCTCTTTGGTCCCCTGAAAAAGGTTCTGGGTGTCTCGTCTCAAAAAAGCCTTTGCCAGGCGCTTGCCACGGACCTGGTGACGGCCCTAGCGGAACCCACCAATCAGAAGCACACCCAGGCGGGGGTGTTGGGGTTCAGCCGCCTTTACATGGAAGGTCCAACTGGGTGGCTTGTCTTTTTTTGGAGGTCCCCCTTGTTTTGTCTTTTAAGGGAAACCAAAAGGAAACGGCTTCTTCCAGGGAATGAGAGACCTGTGATCCATCCACACGATTTCGTTTATGAAATTCGGCCAGGGTGTCTTGGCCAAGATGGGCAACGCCACCTTCAAGTCCATGATCGATGAGGCCGGACATGTAGGGGGTGGAGAGTGGTCGTAGATGTGACCCTCTAGCGATGCAGTTGTTTTGCTGGTAATTTGAGCATCACCTGATGACGGGCACCTTTGGAACAGTAGCATTTGTTTTTGTTGTTGAGGATATTTCAAGGTTTCCTATATTTTTTTGGAGCCCTGTTTCGGTTGGTTTCTGGAAGAGAAAGGCACGCATGCCCTTTCTGCTTTCTGGGACCGCATTTTTGCTACAGGGAAACAACAACAAACATAAATGTTTCCTAGACTTTTTGGAGGTTGTTTCTAAGGGACACCACAACAAACGCAAATTTGTTCCAACATTCCTCCGTCAACGGAGACTGGCAACTGGAGCCTGACGCAGGCTTCCTTGGCCCTGCTGCTGCCCATTGTGATGCGTGGCTTGAAGGAGCGCACCGGGGTTCCTGACACAGGCGATGGTTCGTTCGGCGGCCAAGGCTTTGGAGGGTTTCAGAAAGAAACTCCTTTTGCGTAGCTGGAGCTTCGTCTTTTGAGCTAAGTTTGGTTGCTTTCGTTTTTGGTGATTGGAAGTTGGACTCATTTGACTTGTTGGGCTCATGTTGGCAGGCCCTTTGGTAGTCCATTGTAAGCGGGGGGGGGGGGGACAGGGGGCACTCTCAGGGCTTACATCGGATTTGGCTCATTTTTCAGCGGCATCCTTCAGTTTGGAGCGACCCCTGTGGCCTCAGTTGTGATGAAATCTGGTCCTTTGGACCTTTCGGTTCAGCTTTGGCTAATTCTTCAATCCGAGAATGGACCTTGTATTGCCGCAAAGCCGCTTACCCACTTCGACATGTTGGTCTTTTTTTGGCTCACATGGGTTGTGGTTTTCAAAGGAACACCAAACGGACCACCACCGTCTTGCTGGTGCTCAGCAGGGGATGAGGTCATGACCCCTACAAACCATCCCCCATGGTTTCCTGTAAGGGAATCCCCAGGTTCACTCCCTCATTCCCTACTGAGTCCCAGACCCAAACTCCATGCCGCAGGACCGCGAGGCGATGAGCAAGAAGTGGTCCGCGCAGATCTTCGGATCCGCGGTTCTTCTGGCCGCGCACACAGCAACCGCCCAGGTGTGCGTTGTGTGTGGTGTCTGTTTTTTTGGGGGAACCCCCGTTTGGTTGGAGATTGATGAAACTAGGTAAGTTTCAGTGACCTTGCAAAAGCAGTTAGCCACCCTCACCCTTGGGGAACGCTTATTTTGGGCTGGTGAATCATAGTGTCTTTGGTGCCTTCAGTTGTCGAGTAACCCAAGAAAAGACCAACAGCTTAAGCCGAAGGGTCTCATGAAGTGCATGAACCACCTGAGCACCTGCAACGCGCATTGCAGGCACCTGAAAAACCAGCACCCAAGCTTTGGGGGTGAAAGCAATGACTGCCGTGTAGTGCCAGCCTGATGGTTTCAATAACACGCAACTGCCTTAAAAAGCCGTGAGCTTAATTGACGTGTCACAAGATTGAGCTCATCAAATGGGCCGACCCGCTTCGTTCTTGTGTCAGATTTCCGAACAAGCGCATATGAGAGTTTTTGTTTTCTAGAGGGTACTCTTCTTGGGGGTCGTGCAAAAGAATGCCAAAAGAAACCAAAGGGAAAGCCACCCATTGTGGGGTTCCCCTATTTGGAGACAAACTCATGTGGAGCAAAGAAGGGAATGTCTTTGTTTGCATGTGCAGCAGGAGTCTTGCGATTGAGGTGAAAGACGTGGACTTTCTCAAGCGGCTTGGCAAGCCAAAGCGGCAGCAGCACACGTGTTGGTCAAAAAGGGGGATGGCTTTTTTGGACGATATTGCGAAGTGAAAATGGAGGCAGTGTCGAAATAATTTGGGACCCTGTCTTTTGGAACTACCCTTGGGTCACTGAAGGCGACTGAGCCGCTTGGATGCTGCGAATTTAGTGACATCCGTTGTATTGGATGTGTAGCCGGGCGCAACCACAGGGTGAATCAAGTGTCCATAGGGCAGAATTGGAAGGGGGAGTGAGCTTCTGCAGCCATCAGGCCATACCTGGTCACCGCCCTGCCGCTCTTGCAGGCCCCATTTTCGGGCATGTTTGCACATTCCCAGGTGTTTGCCTGCATGAGATGCGTGTGCCGCGCTTTCGGCAGCGGTGACCAGCTCGCCTGGGTAGGCGGCCCTGAACGACTCGGTGCCGGAGGTGCGGCGTGAGGCCGCCAAGGCCGGCTGGAGACACGGTCTCCATGCTGCGAATTGGCCGTCAGCTTTTTCGTAGAGCAGCTCAATTGAACTTGTTTTCCCTTTACCCCATACAGTTGGTCAAGATTGTGTGTCTTGAAGGTGCCTGAATCTGAATACCCGCTGAAAACAGCGAATGCACTAGGGTACAGGTTGGGATTCATGACGGAAGGTCAAAGGTTTCGCCCTCGCACGTCGCCATCCTCCGCCCAATCAGTGGCAGGCCTTCGGCATCCTGGAGCAGGTCCTGCCTGACTACTCCCGTGCGCATTGCCAGCGCGGAATCTCAGAGCTCCGCCGGCCTTGGCCAGACCAAAAGACTTTTGCCTCATGGGCAACCCTCTCACCCACGTAAAGCTGAACATTAACATGGTGTCAGAACCTCCCCCGTCCCGTCCCTCCCCCCCAAAGATCATCCCAAATCTAACATTGGCTTTTGTATTCTTGGTTTCCATTGAAAGCCACCTGAAGGGTCGACTCCCAAAGAGACGAGCCACCCATGGGCTGAGGCCGTACCTCTTCAAGAAGCTCCGGGGCCCGGACGCCTCGGAGCAGATCGGCGCCGCGCTGGGCCTGGGGGAGGTCTTCGTGCGCACGGAGAAGGCGCGGAGTCTCTGTCCAGCTCTCCACCCCCACCCCCCTCCCACCCCCCTCCCACCCCCCCCCCCCCCCCAGGGGCTTAGGTGTTCCTTTTGATTTCCCTTTAACATATACCAAGAAAGGGGTACCACTCAAACCCCCCCAAAATGGCCCAACGGTTTTTGCTCTTTTGGTTTTCCCTTTAAGCCACACCCGAAGAAGGGGTACCACCAACAAAAAGCCACACCCATTTGGGCGTGTGTACTTTTTTTGGGACCGCCATTTTTGGGGTCACCCCCCTTTTTGGGTTAACTTGCTTCTGTGGGATCCCCTTTTTGGGAACCCTTGGTGGCTGCTAATGGGAGACCAATAGAAAAACCAACCCACCATTGGGGGTCGCATTTGGCACCCATCTGGGAGGGACGGGGAATCTCTAATTGTCCACGAAAACAAAACGGAATCACACATTTACCAATGTCAATAGAGGGGACCCCCTGTGTCAGCCCAGCAACTGTTTGACCGTGGCACGGGTGGCACGCCTGCTGTTTCCCGTCTTATCAAAGATGGCCGCCTCCAAAGTGGTGAAACACACACATAGAAGGTTTCCTTTCCACAAAGAGTAGAGTTTCCTTTTGATTTCCCTTTCGAACCAAAGGGGGCCTTTTTTCAAGACTGGCGCACCCCAATCAGAGGAACCATTGCTGAGATTTCAAGACGGAAACCAGGAGGCATTGGAAATACAGCAAGCATGCCGTAAAGGGGACGAGGCGCCAACCCATGTCTCAAAAATCAAGTTCCCCCACTGAGCGGTTCCAACATGGAATTTACGAGACCTGAATTGCGGGGACTGCTGTGGGGGCTGCTGTTGAGAGCGGACCTGTGATTTTCTGGAAATTCAAACACAAATTACCTGCTTGAGGCTGATTCTCTGGGTCATTGAGAGTATCGATTGCCAATGGCTTAAGTAGGAACTGAGTTTTCAGGAAAGGGGAGATTGTTTGTGCGGTGTGAGTCATGTTCAAATCTGTAGCTTGGTTGCGACATCCAGTTATCCCGCATGCATTTAGCCCCCACAGACTCGTTGTCCCCGTATGAGTCTGGGTCAAAGTACATAGTACTAGTAGTCTATGGTTGGGTCAAAGGATCAATTGTAGGGTTCAGAAGAATGCTTATCAGTTCATTTGGTTTTGAACAGTTTCAGGCGAACACACCTATCTCAGTGTTGAACAGAATCACCATTTTGATCTTCAACCAAGATGCGTCCTATCAGGACCTGTCCCTTCTTTGAAGACCTACCTCGCCCCAATTCCCCCAGCTGCCCTGGGCTGTGAGGCCAAGCTTACGCAGTTGGTGCCGGAGGTGCAGAAGGCAAGCACGTAGGTTTTTGGCGGGGGATGAATTTTTCAATCGGTGACACCCTGGCGCAGTTTCATTGTTTTTCAGACGAAACCGGGTTTCGTCATTCCCCATGCGGCGTTGTCTCAGAGGGGAACCTCAGAAATTTCATGTTGGTTTCCTCTTTTTCCACGCTGCAAACCGGTACGCAGCTTCGACGCATGCCGCAGCTTCGCTTGGCAGGGCGCCAACCACGAGGATCTCACCGTGCGACGTGGCTTCCTGGAGCTTATGGATACCATGCCGCAGGCATCGGAGCGGTCTCCTTTGTACATTCTTTTCTTGGGCTGCGTTAAAGGATATGCATTCTGCTTTCGTGTGTGTGAATGTGTGTGAATGTGTGTCTGTGAAGCCTTTTTGCTGCGAAAGGCAATGAAGATGGACTTCGTGCCCTACATCGAGCGCCTCTTCCCCGCGATGCTGCTGGGGATCAACGGCGAGAAGGCCTCGTCACGCGGAAAACGGTGGCAGGCGGTTCAGGGACCTGCCGCAACTGAGCTGCTCAGTTGCTTCCCCTCAAAAAGCATGCTTTCCCAACAGTGAGGGATTTCAGACTTCCTGCTTGCCTTCCCCTCTCATTTTCCTTTCCCAAAAGTGAACATTAGCTCCTCATCAGCTGAGCCAGGTGGCTTCCCGGCTCCCCAAAGCGCCTCCGACGCCTGCGCGGGAGCGACACCGAAACCGCCTCGTGCGACAGGACCTGAGCGACGACACGGGTCTGAAGGCTGCGCAGGCGCTGGTCGGCCGCTTCGCGGACCTGCCGGGCGGCCCAGGGGGCGGGAGGTGTGGGTAGCGTGCGCTGGGCAGAGAGGTCTTGAGACTGAAGCAAGTTTTCCTTTGTCCGAGGTGCCCGGAGCTCTTGATGGCTGCCTTCGAGGGAGCCTATGCACGGGCGTTGGGGTGCGCACCCCAGCTGGAGGGCGGGAGGGAGGACGGGTGCAGCACTCAGGCGATTTGGCCGTTTTTCAGTTTTATTTGAGATGGAGCAGTGTGCAAGCTCGTGCGGCAGGTTGGCTTGACTGTGAAGCGTGTCATTCGTGGGATGCCTGGACAACATTTTCATGGTGTTTTGGTTTCTTTAGGAAGCTTGCAGACCATGACTTTGCGGAGAAGCCAACAAATCGGTGGTTTGTCATTTGTTTTTTTTTGGCGAAATCTTGCTCGAGGGGTTCATGTTTCAGTGGCCAGCCCTAGACACCGAGAAGACACCAGGCGTTTTCCTTTTTTGGTTTAGCTGCCGCGAGGTCCGGGGACTGGAAGAAGCTGCAGGTGGTGAGGGAGAAGTCCATGCAGCTTCTGCTGAAGACTGCGGAGAAGATCCTGGAGCACAAGAAGTAGCTTCGGAAGCAAAAACTCGCATGGGCCATTGGGTGCGTTTTTTTTCTCCTTTTTTTTTTTTTTCTTCTTCTGTTTTTGTTTGTTGGTACTCGCAGGAGATGGGTGTAGTTTAGAGGTGAAACTCAAAAGGAGACCCTTTTTTGTTGTTTACCCCTAAGGCGAGCGAGAGCGAGTGCTTTTGCACGCGAGCAAGGTTCGGTCAGGACCTGCTGACCTGCGAAGAGTGCTCCACAAAGGCCAGAGGGGCGGAAGGGCTGAAAGGAGAGGCTCAAAAGTGTGGTCCAGTATGTTGTGAAGTTAGGTGGGCATGCAAGCCTCAGCATCAGCAAGCTCTGCTTGATCAAACAACCGTCAAAATGACAATATGTCCTATGTCCTCGTCCTTTGCGGGAACTGAAACTAGACACCGGACACTGCTGAAATGGAACAAATGCTGTCCGTGCCTGTAAACGCAGCGGCCGGTACGAGTTCGTTCTACACAGCTTAAAGCAAAACCAATACGTTGAACCCCAAACGAACACCAAACAATTACCACATACATTGACCCAGAAGCTTAAACCCTAAACTCTAAGAGTAAAAGTACATACCCCAAAAGTACATACCCCAAAATAATGGAAACACCTTCTCGGGGTAGGGATGTGTGCTTGCCACTTTCACTGTTAGCCTATGCCAGGCGCTACTCGTGATGGTTTGTGTTCAGCCCCGGGATGGCAAAAGCAGTGTGGGCAGAGCCTTCGTATTTTGAGACCGGTGCTGAGGAACCCTGGACAAAAGCCCACCGGGGCCGCAGAGTACATACCCCAAATTTCTTCAATTTCTCCCGGGCCGGGAAAACACAGCATACCGTGGGAAAAAAGTACATACCCCAAAATAGTGGGTTATGGGTGCGTCCTTTGTTCTGGGGCTCCTTTTTTGGGGTATGCGGGGGGGTTGTGGGTCTTGGGGTAGCTTTTTGGTCATTGGGGTGGGGTTGGCGGGGAACTCGGGGGAGGGATGCCGGGTGATTTCGGGAGAGTTTTGGGGGCCAGGGGCTTCGGGGGGTGAAAAAGGGAAATCCGGTGCCAAGAAACGCAGGTGCGAGTAAAAATGGGGCACGCTGCCTTTGCAACATTGTATAACCCCTATATAACCACTCTATAGTCAACTTTTTTTGGGTATGTGATTTCGGGGTAGTAGAAAAACCCTTAGATAAACTGTTCAGCTTCGTCAAGGCTCTCAAGCCACCTACACAAGAACATCATTGTTTAAACCTGGAACCAAGGAGCATTGTGAGGCACGCAAAAAGACCCAACAGACGGATCAACCAAAAAAAGCCACGTGGGTTTGCTTTTTTTTGTTGGTGCTTTTCCTTTTCTGAGGTTTGTTTGATCAACCAAACACAATGTGGGTTGGGTTTCTTTTCCGAGGTTTGCTTTTTTGGCTCGGTTTCCTTGGCCAGTTCCTTTTCTCAGCGCACTCCAGCCCGGGCGGGTTCCGAGGCCACGCGCTTGCGCGTGCTGATCCTGGCCTTCGTGGCCCGCAGCGACCCCGACGCCGCGGTGAAGCGGGTGGCCAGCAACGTCTGGCGCCTCGCCGGCCGGCCGGCGGCGCGCGTGTGCTCCGAAAAGTCGGGGAGAAGAGCCCCCCACCCTCCCGTGGTCGTCGTCTTTTTTTTGTGTGTTTGTTGTTTGTTGTTTGCTTTGTGTGTGTGTGTGTGTTTTGTTGTTCTTTCTCGAAGCTGTTTCTGTTGTTTGTCGGGTTGTGCGTGTTGGCTTTGGGTGTGTTTGTTGTTTGTTGGTATGGTTCTGGTTTTCCATGGGGCCGCGTATCTTAGGACAGAACAATGGCAAGCTCGTTAATATTGGGGTGTTCCCCTCTAAAACTGATGACCCCCCCACTAAAAGTATTGATGAGACTGTTGGTCAGAAATAAATTTCACATCTGCTAAATTTTCATCATCATCAACATATCCTGTATGTTTTTGCAGTTTCTATTATTCTTTTCATGCTCTTTCCAGCCATTACAACTTTTGTCTTAGACTTTTTTGCTGCAATCTTTGCAAAATTAGATCCACATGTAGTAACAACCAAACAGGGGTTTCTTTGTCCAAGGCCAAAGTCAGGAAGCGACCACCAACAATATTTTTCCTTCAGGCTCCCATCGAACAGCCAATGACCGCAGCGGTTCATCACTGCCACCAATGGGTGTGGCAAGGAGCCCTTGTTGATTCTAAACATTTGAAACATGTTTTCCTACGTCCGAATAAACGCTTGTGAGAAGGTTTTGACGAGTGGACGTGGACGTACGATTGGATGTACTAGTGAACGTACGAGTTAATGTAAGGGTGGAATTGTAAAGTCCCTCTCGTACAAAGCTATGTGTTTCAATCATAACCCGGCCTTTTGGTTGCCAGCGGGATTTTGTACAAGTGCGCCATCCGCACGTCCACTCGTCCACCCGCACCACTGGTGCGCCACTCGTTCAATCATACGTCCATTCAAACGTTCTCTTGGTCTTTTGATTGTAGGGCCGAGTGGCCCTCAGGTGGTGGACAAGCTTGCCAAAGAATATAGTACAGTCTTTTCCCATTGGGCTCATTTGGTAAAAAAACAGCTCTTCGAGAATGTCGCAAACATGAGCCAAATGCCGCTGTGTTGCACTGGAATCTGAGGTCTGGATGTTTTCCGAGGTTCCCCTTTATCAGAACAAGAGGTGAATTGCGGTGACCCGAAGACGCAGTTGTTTTGGAATGGCTCGAAATGGGGTCATGCATCCTGTTTGGTGTACTTGAAAGAGCACTGAGCAGACAAGCGGACAACTCATGATGGTGGCACAATGTGAACACATAATGCTGTCATGACATCGGATTCCCACCATGGGTGTGATCTTGCAGGATTTAGGTTGCCTCTGTCGGCCAGCGCTTACACCGCTTGAGTCAAGATCTGATTCCTCAACAAACCTTGCGTGCATTGTGGTGGGTCAAGAAGAATGACACCGTTTTTGGAGAACTTTGCGTGCATTTGGTGGGTTGTCAAGATATGGACCCCTTTTTGGACCCCTTTTTTAAGGTGGGCCCCATGGCACAAAAGCGGTGCCGAGGAAGACCTCCGGCGGATCTCCCAAGATGCAGCGCCTGGGCATTCATTCATGCGCACTGCAAACGTCCGAGGTCCGCACGTGAGGCTGAGCTTGTGAGGTCAAACCGGAAACCTGGTGGGTGGGGGGGGGACTCGGAAAAAGTTTGCAGCCGGATGCTAAGGCTTTGAAGGAGAGTTGGAACTGATCCTTCGCCGTAGATAACGCCTGGTCTCAATGGTGTGACTGAAGGTTCCTGCACGTTCTTCTGAATCGTTTCGCATTGCATGTTCTCGCATTCGTTCTTGGGGCTTGAACTGGCGCCCAGACCCAGGAAGACCATCATCCAGGAGCTCTCGCAGAGCATCACAAAGTGGTGCGCAGGTGCGGGTGCTGTTGCGACGTGAGAAGGGGGCTTTCTTCTTTTGATTTGGTTGTGAACATGTTTTGTTTGGGCTTGGATTTAGAGTTGGACAGAAACAGTGAAACGATTCGGTTTGGGGCTTCTCTCAGGGAACTCACTGGAAAAGCAAACTTTCTCAGCGGAGCCTTTGGACTGGTTTGGAAGAATATAGCATTGGGTAACTTTACTTTGGTGTATTCCAGGGTGGGTTGCCGTGTTTAGCAAGCATGGCCTGTGTTTGCCCCGGTCTCGGTGCATCGAAAAATCCGCTTGCGATTTGGGCGCAGAGGATGGCTGCACCCCGTCGCCATAGGAAGGGTCGACTCGTTTTGACACTTGGTCCGTCTGTCTCCTAGAACTAGATGATGTTGAAGGAGAAGACATGATAAGCCTTGTCACTTTGGAGAAACCATGCGTGTGGTTTGAGTTGCCGTGTTGTCATCATGCTTGCAATCATGGTCACCATGCCATGAACGTTGCTGAAACAGGGAGATGGCGCGCCAACGGGAGCGTTCCCAGATCTTGCCGTGATTTTGCCCATCATTTGCTGTGAGTTTTGCGCATCATTTGCTCGACCATGTCTAGTCGAGTTTGGTTTGCAAATCACTGGGGGTTCGGAACTGGAAGCCGCGGGGTGCCCAGAGGCTCCAGACGTAGCTCCAGAGCTTCCTGCCTCAGGATCCATGGGCGGCGGCCTCCAGAAGGTCGCCAAGGACGCCCTGGCGGAGCTGGTGAAGGCGGGCGCCGCCCGTTGCCACCACTTCATCATGGAACCTGACTGCTTTGGGGGGGTTCTGGTTTGGATCTTTTGTCTCCAGGAAGCCTCAGGTGCATTAGTTCCATGGCAAGCGTGGAGAAAAGGGCATCCACCTGACGCGAGCTTGCGGTTTGCAACCTGAGGTGCTCATTTTCATTGAGCCTGTTGCTGCGCATTTGGGCGGTCTTTTTATGAGCTCATCGTTGTGGGGCTTATTCAAGTGACATCGAAGGGGCGCTGCCCATTTTTTGGGCCCTTTGGGGACACTTGGCACCCCAAGAACCTCCCAGTGATGCAGCCCTGAAAAACTTTGACAGGCTCATTCCTTGTTTCCCTAGTCATTTGCTCCGGCTCATTTCATTTGGCCAGGCGGGCGATCTTGAGCAGCCCGCGGAGGTGCCGGAGGCGGGCAACGGGGCCCGACATTTTTTAGGGCCCCCCCCAACAGAAAAGTGTTTTTTCTTCTTTGGTTTTGCTTTAAACAGCAGCCAAAAGGGGTACCCTAAACTGGACACACAGTTTGAGAACCTTGATTTGTGTGTCTTTCTTTTTTTTACTTCTTGCTGGGTGTGGATTTAGTGCTGTTTCCCTGCGGTTTGTGAAGGAATTGTCGTGATGGGTGCGATCTAATTGCTAGGGGTGCCAGTGAATTGGACAGACTGTGAAACTTCAGCTTTGTGGTACCCTTCTGAAACCTTCTACCTACCAGGATCACAGGGGCCTAGCCGGCCCTGTTTTTGACCGAATTATCCAGTTTGGAGAGACGCACAGGCATGTTTTCTTCACAACCCTTGGTGCGGTAGCAATGATCAAAACCAAAAACCAGCAACTCGCCAACAACAGTGAACATTGGAAACCGTCAAAATCATGAGGAAAGACGCCAACGGTTGAGCTCCCGCATCCCACAACAGTAAAGAGTTTTCGGCTGCTCACAAAAAAGCGTACCAACATGGTATCTTGGCGTATGGAACCAAAGACGAACACCTGCGGCTTGCCCTAGCTCTTGAACATTTTGAGTCGCACCCCCCATGAAAGATTGGAATATCGATCCTCCCCTTCGCCAGAGCCCAATTGGAATGTTGATCCATGGCTTATACTGGCCCCCTTATTTTGGCATGATTAAAGTCACCCCCTAAGTGGTGGGTTAAAGGGAAACAGCCCCATTTTCTGACTTTGACAACACCCCCAGAAACAGTCAAAAGAATGACGACCCCTGTTGTATGTTTTTTGCATCCAAGAAACCGGAAAAATGGTACCACTTTTTTGAGCCGCAGCCATATGCTTGGTTTTTATCTCCAACCGCAGGCGGTGACCGCGGACTTCGCCTTCGCGGCGCCGGTGTCCACCAACGAGGAGGCGGCGAAGATCGCCGCAGGCGCGGGTAGGGGTGGGTGGGTCGGGCGGTTTGGTCACGGGGGAAGGAGGTCCTTGCCTGGAACAGGTTTTGGTTTTCACAGGTTTTTGTGTGGGTTTTCGTTTTTTCAAAGGTTTTTGTGCGGGTTTTGTTTTTTCAAAGGTTTTTGTGCGGGTTTTCGTTTTGCAAAGGAAGTTTTGTTTGGGTCGATCCCTCTCGTGGTAATGTTGGCACCGGCGTAATCAACCTGGCTGAAAAGCGAGGGGAATTCGCAGGTAAAGGGTTCCAATTGAAATTGGATATCCCCTATTTCATCTTCCCTTTGATTGGTGGTTTGATGGTTCAGGGATGGTTTTCCATTGGCTTCTGGAGAAGACAGGGGTTCAAATGCCCAAACCACCAATCCACCAATCCAAACCAATCCAAACCACTAACTACTGGTTATGTGACTTTTGATCAAATCCTGGTTGCCATTAGGTTTTGTCCAAGCCACACATTCCAGAAATTCTCATGCAACCTACCCGCAGCCTGCGATGCAAAAACATCATCCTGAGGCACAGAGACAAAGCCTTTACCGATTCCGGCTGCACTGAAATTGGTGTTCGAGTTGCCAGAGAAGCGTCTCACACTTCGGGGAACTCAAAAAGGTTATGCCGTTCGCTTGGTCTTTCCGTTCAAATCCTCCGTAGGAGCAACTGTCATATTTTGGTGGCGGATTCCGCCTGAGTTTTTGCCCGCCGCCATTGAATCGGTGCCCCGGCACTTTTTCTCCCCGTGCCTTTGCCCGCTTCTTTCTTCGGTCCAATGACGTGTGGAGATGCCCATTTTTTTCTTGGATACCTCATTCCAGGTTGGTGAATCAGTCAAAACTCACCTAGATTTGGTGTTTCCCTTAGGTTTCCTTTCAAAGACCCGCAACACGAATTAATCCAAAGACACATCTATCCCATGGCGACGCTCGGCCACGCAGGTGAGCCACCCAGCAGCCTGTCGGATGACGATGCAGACACCAAAGAGGTGTGCGGCGGGGGGTTGGGTTGCCGCAGGTTCGGTCGCCATTTATTGCTAACACGCACATTTTGGTGTGTCTTTTCTTAAGGGTACATACTGTACTTTTTTTTGGGTTGGTTTAAAGGGAGACCAAAGAGAAACCACCTATTTTGGGGGTCCCCCAATTTTAGGGGACACCCAGCAGGTCCCCCAATGATAGAACGCCTCTTGTTTCCTGCCCGGACGTCTGGGTTTCCCTGTCTGGTTTCAACCCTTCATTGTTTTGGTAGCCGTTGAGGGAGCTGCGCTGCGTGTGGCTCGCTGCCCCACCAAATTTGGCGGCTCATGGCAGGGATCAGCTTTCTCAGCATCTTTTGGGCTTGGATAATTTTTGACCCCGTCATACGTGCAAGAGGAGGAATCCCACACGAACACCATCTTGCAAAGAACAAAATGGTGACATGATCATCTCACTGGAGAGGACTGCCAGATGGTCAAGACAGTGGACAGCTTTTGGAGCAAGCAGAGCAGCTTCGGGGCTCTGCCAGGCCTGGCTTGGCCCCCTGGCCCCCCGCTCGGATTCTCTGTGAAGCCATTTGTTCGGCTGAGGGGTAGACGGCAAAAGAGACCTTGCTTGTTCCGTAGCTTGTTGTGTTTTGGCGCCTTGTATTTTCGCAATGGTGAATAAAGTAGTCTTGCAGTGGGTTCTTGCTTGTGGCCCTTTCGGTTAAGATCCCAGCCTGCTGGTCCCTGAAATCAAAACGCGTTTGACCAAATATCGCAACAGGAACCAATGTGGACTCCCAGAACTGCCTGTTTCATCACGTGTGGCTGCAATGGCCAACTGAAGGGAACGGTGACCCGAACGACACATACTTCGTGCCTTTTCTAGTTGGGTCTAAAGATCTTCCGGTGATATTCTACGAATTCAAACGGTTGCTGCCAATATGCTGACATATTCTGACGCATGCTTTGTCGTACTCGGAAGGGATTACCAATCATTGCCTTGCTGATGAGCTGCAGCCTTGCTAAAGGGGGGGACTCTTTCAACAATTTTTCGCCACTGGCAGGCAAGAGAGCAACTCGTTGCGGTTTAGGATTCTCCTCCTTGTCTCTTCCGGGACCGAAGTTTTTGAAAATCTCCGTGCCACAAGGGTACCATGTATCACAGGCTAGTGGGATGTCTCAGGTGGTCTTGCTAAGTGAGGTCCCCGACCCCCTCAGGCGATGCAGCTGTGACCGAGGCCACAGTTGAGCATGTCAGATTGGGGTCTTTTGTTGCGTGATTCAACGCTGCGGGACCCAAGTTGGGACAGGCCATTCCGGCTCTGGACAGATGAAGCGCCACCACTTAACAACTTAACGAGCCAAAGGTAACTTTGTGTTTTGACACACGGCCCTGTTTTCTTTGTGAGAAGGCCACTTTGATTTGAAACCGCCAAATCATTCAAGCACCTGAAAGCAAAGAGAGGCTCCCATGTGGCGGTTTCTGCACTTTGGGGGCCAGGTACGTGCGTTTGGAGGGGTTTTCCATCGCGAAATCGGCAGGCGAGCTGCAGAGCCACATCCGTCACGTGGCCGCCAGCATCATCCGCGAGGGCCACAAGAAGAAGGTGCCTGGCCCGAAGGTGGTCGAGGCGCGAAAGGGCTTGGGAACGCGAGCCACAGGAGGTGACATCAGGCAGCGGCCGCGGTGCTGCAAATGAAGGGGAGCAGCAAACCCGGGGGACCAGCACCACCAGCAAGCAGAAGCGGGGACCGAACCCGGGTCTGAAGTCGTTCTCCTGCGCCACACGAGCGATCTACCGGTGCCTCATGCGGGGATTGGTCGAGTTTCAGGCACTCCTTTTGACCTGAAGCCAACTGTTTGAGTTGTATTTTTCAAGGGGAAGCCATCAAGAAGCCATTTGGCCCATTTTGGGGGCTGCCCGTATTTTAGGGGCCTTGCCCGAGAGTGATCCGACAGCCAGGAGCTTCAGCACTGCCTGCCAGTGCTCTGCAGCTGCTACAAGGAGCAGGCGCGGCCCCCCCCCTCTCGTGAGAACCAGGCCGATTTGAAAAGCCCCTTAAGGTCCACCCCAATGTGGACGGCTACAGAGAACCAACCCTGCTTTGAGCGAGGATGTGCGCGCAAGGTTCAGATCTCCTCCAACCAGTACAGTTTTCAGTGGGGCCCTCTGCTCTCAAAGCAGGAAGGAAACCAAACCAAATACGTTCACAGCCCAGTGCACTCGAGTAAGCACACTCTTGACGTAAGTAGCGAGCACGTACACAGCAAAATGTATTTGGGAGCCCATTTCTGGACGGGCTTGAGCTCCCCGACAATGTCAACACGAGATGCACACCTCCAAAGGCAAGCTCCCAGGTATTTTCACAAAGAGTTCGAACATCCACCTTTCAGTAAAATAGCCTCATGGCACCTGACAGGGGGGGTCCTGGAAGACAACTTTCCTTTTAAAGGGACCCCCTGTCAGGTTTGGTGGGAGGGTAGGTGGCTTTTCCTTCTCATGTTCTGGTCGGAGCCGGAAGAGCCGGGAGAGCGCCGGACAGGCCGCCGAGTTCCTGCAGACGGCTCCGGGCCACTGCGAGGCGAGGGAAGGTTTTGCCGTTTTGGTTGTCTCATTGAAGTAGTGTTCTGATTTGATCCAAGTTCTGGTTACTTGTTGTTTGTTCTTTGGGATTGTTGCGTATTTCGTTGTTCGTGTTTGCTTCCTTGGTCATTCCTCGCCATTGTCAGGCTCTTGAGGGACCCGAAAGAACCTCTCGGGCTTCAAAGAACCGTGGAAGTTCAACGTGGGTATGTCTGAAAGGGAAACCTGCAAAATGATGGCTTTCCTTTGAGTTTCCCTTGAAACCAAGCTGAGAAGGGCGGCTTCAAAAAGCACAAGTTTAGATGGTGTCAAGAGGAAACTGACTTGAGAAACACCTTCTGAAGGAGAAAGGTCCGATGCTTTTCGAAACACAGCCCCTTGTTGTTTGTGAAAAGTGGGCGGCGGCGGTCTTTGAGACCTTCTTTTGGCGGGTCAAACCTTTCGTTCACGATTGTGCCAACAGCAGAGCAGATCACCCGAAGTGATCTTCAATTCATGGCAAGCGCTCATGAGCATAAAGCCCTTGCCAGACAGCATGAGTTCCGCAACGCACTTTGCGTTAAGTTCGGACACTTCCGCCAACAGTCACCCCTTTTCATTTTCAGAAGGCTCTTCCCTTGTTGTTGGATTTTGTGTGAGTTGGGTCGGCTTGGGTTGCTTTGTTGCCAGGTTGGGTATCCTTCAGTGGTTTTCCTTGGTGCCCTCAAGTCAACGACTCGTCCTCGAGTCGAGGCCCTGTGCCGGGAAGCGTTGGGCGCGGACTTTGACGCGGCCCATGGGGACGGCTACGACGCCGAGACGCTGCTGCGGGTGGAGAACATGCTGCTGCCGCTCGGTTTTGGCGTGTTTTGAGGCTCAGTACTTGAGTTTTTTGTTTGAAGGGGAAGGAATAGAAACACTGCCCATCTTTGTGGCACCCTTAATTTTGACACGTCGTATCCATTTCACGGCCGAGTTGTCGTGCCGTTTTGTGCAACCTCAGGTGAAGATGGTGTTTGGGTGAAGTTGCTGGCAAGCTGGTGCAACACTCACGGTTCAATTTAGAGCATCTTGTGGAGGTAATCTTGCGCAGGTGTCTCAAGTTCCCCTTTGGCTTTGAGCTTCTTTGGGCATTCCGCCGTGGGCCGAGCCTGGAGCGTTTTGGGCTTCAAACACCTGGCGCTCCCTCGGTTCCGCTCCCTCGAGGATGTATGGCGCGGGCAAGCTGCTGCTGAAGGACACGATGCTGGAGATGAAGGCCAACCGCCGCTACGGCGTGGTGGGCCACAACGGTTCCTCCGCAGCAGAGGAATGGGGTGCTCTTTTTTTGAGTCGGTCACTCGCTTTGCAAACTTTGGGGTTGGTGCTAACGGAAACCGAAGGGAAGCCGGCCAGTTTCTGATTTCTGGGCTCCCCATATTTTAAGAGACACCCAGATATGTTTGCGAGTCCAGGAAGGTGGCAAACTTCTTTTTTAAAGTTTCTATGCAGCGATAGGAATGTGCTTCAAATGGATATATGTACATACGTTTACGTATATATTTGTTGTCAATTTTGAAGGCACGCCAAGTACACGCCATCCATTTCAGGTGAGGGAAGATGGAAACGCTCGATGATTGACCAATCCGAGACAAGGGAGAGGGTGTGTGTGTGTGTGTGTGCGCGTGGGCGCGCGCAAGAGCTTTCTCAACTCAATGCCAAGCACAAGAAGGCCATTCACTCCTGCTGGGCTCTCGTGGGAGTCATACGCTGCAGCTGTGTTCTTACAGATATTCATTGTGGACATGTGAACACTGCCAGGAACACGTTGCAGGTGGGTCCTTGCATTTCCTCTTTTGGAAGGAACTTTGTGGCTTCACCTTCTGCGCTTCCCCTTTCGTTTGGATTCTTGGCTGACGGTCTTGGCGCTTTGAGCTTCGAGGTGCAGGCAAGACGACCCTGATGAAGGAGATCGTGGCCGGGCGCATCGTGGGAATGCCCACGCACTTGCGCTGCGTGCATGTGGATGACTCCAAGCTAGGAGCGAACGAGAAGGGTTTCGCAGATACATGATGGACTTGGGTTGCTGGGCACGACCATCAATCGTCTGATAACACTTTGAGAGCCGACTTACGGGGAGTTCAGAGTTCAGTTGAGGGAACTGTCCATCAACCTGTTCATGACATTTCAACGGTGGATCATGTGACACGCGTGGCGCATGTAGCCGTCGGCACCAGATATGGCACAGTTAAAATGCAACGCTTGTTGCTCTCGACACGCTTCTCTTGTGTGCAAGCTTGAGGAGAGATGAGCAAGAGCAGCCTCAACGCCCTGGAATACGCAGCTCGACCGACACGGATGGGCTGTTGTCGGATTTTCGGGGGCCCCAAATAAATCTTTCCCTTCGGGTGGTTTTCAAGCAAAACACCATTGGCTTTTGCTCAAGTGAGTTCCCCCTCTCGCCGGTCGCGAGAAGCATGAACAATCCAGGGAGTTCAGGAGCTTTAAATGAGTTGCAGTGCTTGCGGAATGAGGTGGTGTCGAGGTCATAGGCATAGGACAAAAAATAGACCTAGGTCCTAGGAGTGCAACGCTTCGCTCGGGTTTAAAGGGTGGGTCAGCACACCTGAAAGGATTTCACCAGCTGGCAACTGTCGCGAAAGTTTCTTTCAAGGCCATACCCATCCTCTTCGGCCAGGGCCTTGCGGGAGTCCACATGACATATTCCCAACGGTTTAGACATTGCCTTTTGGGTTGCATTCCTCTCTGAGCTTCCTTTTGGCGGGTTGCTGTTCAGAGGAGAATGGGACTGTTTCAGAAACGGCGGAACAACTCCAAAAAAGGTGTGTGCTTGTGGCTTCGCTTGGCAAAAAGCAACCCCCCACAGGATGGTGTATCTAAAGAAGAAGCTTCCCCAACATTGGGAGGATAGGAACAGACCCCGAAAAGCGGCGCTGTTCTGAGCTGAGGTGCAGATGAAGGGCAAGGAGATTGGCGTCATGGACGTCAGCTACGACAACCTGCGCCAAGTGGGCTTCCCCGAGAAGATGCCTGGGCCTCGGAGTGGGGTGCGGCGTCGGCTTTCGGAGGGTTGGTGCGGTGGGGGCTGGGGAGCAACTTGGGCACCAAGCCACCATGGATTCCTCCTGAAAAGGACGTGAAGAGAAGGATAAAAATGAGGCAAATTGAGAGGAGCATTGCGGAATGTGGTAAAAAGACAACGCGCAAGTTGCTTTTGCACACTTCTCCAACATTTACAGGCACGATGGGCCTTGTCCAACATTCTGGAAACACGAGGAAACACATGTTTCAGATTTCCCTCGCTGACGAAGCGTACCCCCGCTCAAATGTTCCATTTCTGGTCGCCAACAAGAACGGCAATCAATTGCAACAGGTCTCTTGCAGAGGGCTAGGTCTGCCAACCACCCATGAATTGAGGCAGGACCGGCCTGGGCCCCCGTTTTTCCGTTTGCCGCCACGTCGGTGGCAAGCGTTTTGACCAGGGTTGGGCCAGCCACATTCTTTGCATTTTTTGATTTCTTTTGTTGCCCCCTTGTTTTTCCTTGTTTCTACAAGCTTGCCTACCTTGTTCTTGGGTCCCCCTTGGAGATTCAGCCCATATATATGTATATATATTGACATGTGTACGTATGCAGTATATGACCATCCTGCTTGCAGAATCTTGATGAATGTTTCAAGGCTCATCTCTGCTCGTATTACAGTGCTGTAACTCTTTGCAACGCTGGGAGCTCATTCCACTGTAAGGTTGCTTTGTCCTTTTGTTGATACCACACGCCTTCTACCTGGGCAGTTTGAGACTAGGTTTCCAGAGTGGCTGCGTACAGTTTGCATTTCATACAGCAAATTTGCCTGACACCAGGGGGTGATACTGGAAAGCAATCGGCGCATGTTGAGTGTAGTGAGACAAGAACGCCTTACACCGCTGCCTCACACTAGGCTTTGAAAAGGAAGGGTTTGATAGCCACACCCTCCCAGTAGCATGGCACCTGACAGCGTTTTGTTTTTCTCTTCCCCCCCCCCCGGGTACCTCACAGGTGCAGGTGCCAGTGCCATGCTAGTGGGATGCAGCAGAGAGCGATCGCACAGGTTCGAGGTGCCGGTGGCTGAGCTCTCCACTGGCTGGCGCATGCGCCTCACGCTGGCGGTGCCGGGAGCCCCGGAGGTGTCACCAAAAGGAGATACCATTTCCCAGTTTCCCAGTGGATTCCGCTCTTTTTTTCCAGCTTTTTGTTTGAAAAAGTTTCCCCTTTCAACTCAACCAACCAGAAAAGGATGCCCTTTTTTCCCATGGCTACTGGGCATTTGACCATTCATTGGGTGACAGATGGATGTGTACTTCGACTGTGGGCCTTCGTATGGAACCAGACTCGATGGGTATGGTCAGTCGTAGGAAGTTGAGAGTTTGCCGCTGTTCTTGATGTGCCTGCTTTGTTCTGTCCAAGGATCACCGCCCCTCTCCCCCATTTTTTGGAATTAAGGTGTTGTTGCAAAGAACCGAGGGGTAAGTCTGAACTGAAATGGAGAGGATCAAGCCATGATCGATGGGTTCCTGTCCAGATTGAATCGCAGCAGACCTGGTAAAACCCGATGGCAAGCGGGGGTGCAGAGCGACACACCAAGATGTGCTGATCCGCCTTTTGTTATGGGAAAAGTGTCACCAAGATGGCAATGGTTTTATCTCAGTTTCCTAACTTGTTTTGACAAGCATTCAGACCAGACGATGGTCGTTGTGCATGCCCGATATGCCCATGATGACTGGCCCCTTACTACCTGGTTTGGCCTGTCCTGCAAATGGGAAAACATACAAACACATATGTGTATTCCACTCTTTTAAGTTCGATTCTAATAATCAATCACTGCAACAAACTTTGCCAAAACCTGGGACTGCGATCCTGAGGTCTATGCTGAAGCATGCAGACATCGTTCTGCTGGATGAGCCTACGAACCACTTGGATCAGGAGCAATGCAAGCTCCAGAAGGGGGGGGGCTTTGGCCTGTGGCCTTTTGTTGCCTAAACGGAGTCTTGTCAAGTACCACGGACATCAGCTCCCAATCAAAAGAAGGGTGATCAATCGGGGTTATACTCATGCTGTCCGAGTGTCCGGCATTTTGCTGCAGGGTTCAGTCAGATTGCCCTTCCCCGCTTTGGTTTTCACCATTCTCTTGCGGTTGGTGTTGTTTGGATTTGGTCGCACATCGCGACTGGCTGACGTGAAGCCAAAGTCCCCTCTCTGACCAGGTTGAAAACTGGGGCGTATAGGGTTTGTTTCACTTGACACGTTCCCATCGAGAAGTTGGCCCTTAGGAGTCGGTGGACTGGCTGGGTGACTACCTCTTGGGCCTCACAAGGTCTTCGGTCATGGCCGCTTGGCTAGTGCTTGGCTGGCCTTGCGTCCCGTAGGCTTAGATTTTTGGGGTGGGGTACCAAGATTGGGAAGGCTCTGGGGCAAGCAGATAGGCAATACCACTGAGACCTGGAAGAAGGAGTTGTGTCTGGCGCTTCCCGAGGAAACCATACCAAATAGGAGCATGTGCTTGATCGAACGTGCATGTGCTTGCAAGCCCGTGCGCCTACCCCAACCCTATGCCCTAAGCGCTAAACTCGACTCCAAGGTCATCTCCCACGAGCCCAAGTTCTTGAACAAGATCTGCGCCTCGCCTCGCCTGGGAATAAGGAAGAAGCAACCAAACAAGCAGGCTTTTGCCTGTTGATGGCAGTGGTTGTGGTTGTTGTTGTGGTTGTGGTGGTGGTGGTGGTGGTGGTGGTGGTCGTGGTTCAATCAAGTGGCAGGTTTTGGAGCAGCTGGTGATGGACTAGGGTCAACTTGCTTGCGCCAGTATGTTTGTCCGGGCGTTTTGGAGGTGTGTGCGTGAGTGGCACCCTGCGCCTGCATCCAGATGCATGTTCCGTGCTATCCGACTTCTTCAGACTCGAGTTGAGCTTCGACCTGGCAGTGGCAGTCACCTCTTTTTGGTTTGAATCATTGCGGCGGGGTTCTTGCATTTGCCACCATCCATATTACTAGCCAGGGGAATGCGCCAACACACGAGGGACAGCCGTAATGTTGGATGAACAGTGTTTGCTGTGTATGTGTGCACGCCCATGTAAACATTGAGGAAGCTGAGCATGAAAGTTGGTTGCTGGCGCAGTGCCTTCATTCTGGATCTTAGGTACCGACATTATCTCGTACAAGGACAGGCGACTGGTCTACACCGAGTCTTGGCTGCGCGTGTTGCATTTTGCGTGCTGTGGTTCGTTGATGGAACCTGAAGTCTCCGGGAAATCTCTTGAACCTACCCTCGCTTGGTGACCCCCTTGCTTCAGAATCCAAGCGACCTAGCCCCACCAGCACCTCTGCAAATCCAGCTTTTTTTTCCCCGACAGCTGAAAGCTTTGGGGTTCAGCCCATGTAGGCGGGTTTCCACGAGGTTCTGCGAGGGCTGCACTAAAAAGAGCACTGCATGCTGTTGGGGATATCTCCTGAGCTTATTTTTTGTCCGGTCCATGTGAGGGGACCAGGAGCCAACCATTGGGAGGGATTCTTGTTACACGTGATTTGCTCTTGAGGGTGGATCCACCAAGAAAAACAATGCTAGCCATTGTCACCATCCTCTTCGCGGTTTTGTACAAGGAAGGTGTAGAGCTGGCAAAGGGAGTGTGTTGCGTGCTTCCGTGTCTGCTTCTCCGCGTGTGTGCCCTCACTTACCCCATAAACCAGCTATTCGTCTAGCTTGCGTCCCTCCGTTCACCCGTCCGAAGGAAGGCAACTTTGACGCCTTCGTCATGGCCAAGGGCATCAAGGCTGACGACATCGAGGCCTTGCTGTCCGGCAACCTCACGCTGGATGAGGCTGGGTCGAGTCGGGTCGATCTCGCAGAGCTGCGCAATGAATTAAGCACCGCGGGGTCAAGCAATGGTTGGATACGGCGCTTTTCGAGGCGAGCGGTCGTGTGCGCCTGACCAGTGGCTGTGTGTGTGTGTGTGCGCGCGCGCCTGAAAGTGGCCTGGCAAGGCTCGTGTGCTAATTCTACTGGTTGGCAAATTGCGGTGCTTTTTTGGAGCTCCTCCATCTCCAAACACATGAGTTCTCTGCTGCTTCCTTCTCCAAGATGCTTGATTTTTCATTCTTGCACATGGCTTCGGTTTCCATCACCGGCCCTTGGTTCTGGTTTCACGCCTTAGGAGGAGGGTGAGGAGGGCGCGGAGGAGAAGGTGGCCGTGCAGGCGCCCATCGCGGGTCCTCCGAAGTCACTGGGCTGCAGTCCCCGCAAGTGGAGCCGCTGGGCGGTGGGTGGGGCGGGCGCGGGCGGCAGAGTCAGTGGTCGGAAAGGGCTGCGGCTGGGGTTGTGTTGGAACTTTCAGGGCAGGACGAGGCTTCTCTGAGGGCTCTTCCCTTGTCTTTTGAAGTGAGCTCTCTTCCCACTAGTTTGCTACTTCCTGAGTGGGAAACTGCAAAGCAGCAAATCCACACGGTCAATATCAATATGTCCTTCTCCAACAGGGTTTCACTGTCAATGAAGGCATCACCGTGACGAGAAGGTGACTTTCGCGCTTCATCAGATTTCGGGTTCCTTGTTACTCGAGGCTCGTGACATGGCAGCAGTTGGTCCTTGGCAAATGAAAGGAGGAAAAGCACTCACGTTTGTTGCTGCCTTGCAGCTGTTTCACCACCTCGATTCCGTTGCTTTTCAACTGGAAGGGTTCGCGATGCAGAACAAGCGTTTTCAACGTTTTAGCTGCTCATGCTTTGACCTTTCATTCTTTGCACTTGGGTCGATTCCCATGCTACCAACCAGAGCAAGGGTTGAATGTTTGGAGACAAAGATTGACCCCTGGGCGAAGCGGTGGGAGGGAGACGTTCGACACTCTTTGAGCTATTTGTCCTGCAGGTCCACTTTGGGGGGATGGTTTCTGGTAAACCGGAAAACAACCATACAGGGAGGGCAGCGAGGAGGATAATTGAGTTCGCTCACCAGGACGATGGCCCCTCTCTTAGTGAGCATGTAGTTGTTACTTATTCCGCTTGTGTTTCCAGGTCCTTAGGTCAGGGGCTAGCCCATGATCCTCAACTTGCAAAAGGGCACCAAAACAGAACATGCAGTTGCTCAGCAAATCTAGACGTTCCCCCTTTTTCCTGAAAAGGTGGGTAAATTTTCAGACGCGTGGAAGGTCGAACATTTGCGCCAAAGGTCGGGGTTTGGCATATGCACTGGGCTGGGGCACAGGTAGAACGAAGATGGCCCCTGCACATCGATTTTCGGCGGGGGGGGGGGGGGAGACGTCTCCCCAGGATCAGCTTCCCCATCCCCGGCTCTGTGGAGGGCGTGAAGTCCAGCTCCAAGGCTTCGAAAGGGCCAGAAAAGGAATGGGGGTGGCTTGGGGCCCCTGTTTCTCCAGGAAGGTGTTGGCTTCCTTTTTCCCCAACAGCTGAAAGCTTTGGGGTCTCAGCCCAGATAGGCTCTGGGGTGGCCAGGGTTCCACCAGGGTTCCACCAGGGTTCCACCAGGGTTCTACCAGGGTTGCACCAGGGTTCCACCAGGGTTCCACGAGGTTCTGCGAGGGCTGCGGGGTGGTGCGAGCACTAAAGAGAGCACCGCATGCTGGGTAGATGGATTTCGCCAGATTCGGGGGGGGGGGGTTGGTGCTAGCTTGGTCAGCGGGCCCTGTAGGCAGTGATCGAGTTCAAGAACCTCTCCTTCCGCTATGGCAAGGCAGGGGGGAGGCCGCGGTTTTGTCACCACCTTAAGGAAGTTGCGGTGCCTTCCAACATATTCTCGGAAAGTACACTGCCTCAGACTAACAGCCAGAAGCTCCCCCAAATTGGCCTCTCTAAATGGAACCAAATCTTCCAAAGGTCCTAGTAGGGTCGCAAGACCTCTTGCAGGACAAGGACGACCTCCTCAGCCAGGTCTCGGGCAAGCTCTCCTTGGGCTCGAGGGTGGCGACGCTTTGGCCGTGATCCACTTCAGTCAAATTCTTTCGAGCATGAAGCCCCCAACAAATATACCCACCTTGTAGAGGCATCTCCAAAAGGGGGGGGGGCGGGTGGGTGGGTGGAGGGGGGGGTTAGGGGGCCTCTTGTTTGTCTTCATGAACAACTTTCGGGGGAGCAGTTCTCTTTGAGATGGTTTCGAACATCGGCCTGTCGTGGGCGGGTCACATTTCGAGCCATGGTGAAGTGAATCCCCAGTATGCCGGTTTTGCTCGGGTTGCCAAATTTGCTGTTCGGGTTCAGCCCGAGAATCAAAGTTAAGTGTGGGGAGATTTGTTGGGGCCAAACGTCGACGCGAAACACCCTTGGTGTTTGCAGTGGCCGATGATCACCCCATGCGAGCCTTTAAGCAATAACCTAGCAACGTACACAGGATGCCGAAACCTTTTTTTTGTCCATCGGTTAGTGCACAGGTTGGTCATACAAAATCCCAGCCACGAGTGGCGTTGAAGCATTTGGCCAGGGCTCATTATCATGCAGGGGCTGGCAGGACCTCGTCTTTGGGCGATTTGAAGCATTCCCCGATCCCAACCATCCCGTTGTTGGCCAGTCCCTACTCCCCCCATTTTTTCGGCAAGTTGACTTGAAATGGATAGATCAGAACCGCCGCAGATGAACCTTGAAGTTGAGTTAGCTGAAGTGGGTACGCCCTGCAGATTCAAACCACGGAACCTCAAGAAGCCATGATTTGTAGAGGATTTTCCATTTTTGTTTGAACACCGCCCCCCCTTTCCGAGCTTCATGTTGGGAGTATCACGGCCACTCAGGATTTGCGGAAGGAACGGCTGCGGCAAGTCCACACTCATGACCCTCATCAGCTCCGAGATGAATCCCACTGAGAACAAGGACTTGCTTCCGCTTCGCGAGAGATGCCTTTCTTGGGGGCTCTTTGTGGCTGTGCATTGAAATGAAGGACATTGCTTTGTTTGGATGGGTTTCATCAATTTATCACTTGGTAGCGGAATTTTGACAATTGTTTGTGCGGATTTGAGACTGAGAGCGTCAAAGTAACCTGGCGAGTACCCGAGGCCATATCCAAGCAGGTTAGAGCAGACGTCCTTTAAAGCCTTTTGTTGGACGCATCCAATCCAGCGACCCCAGCGATGATTGAAATACTTATGCCGACAATACCCGTTCTGTCCTTGTACAGCACAGAATGGATACCAAAGAGAGGCTTTTCCCAGAGTAGGCATGCTGTCATCACAAAGCACAGACACCACACATATTGTGGTTGCGGGCATATTTGTTTCCTGCCGCTGCTTGAATCGCGGGCATACTCATGATCAGACTTCTCCTGCACAGACCTGGTTCAGGCTGGGAAGAATGGCCTCTGCTGCAAAGCATTCATGTTGCCCCTCGAAACAATGCAGCAGAGCTCAATCTTCCCAGTCTTTGTTTTTTTCGGCACGTGTGGCTTCTTGCCGCTCTCAGCGAGTTTGCCTGGCTAGGCATGGGCAATGTCCCAACTTGTTCTTGTCGACTGCTGCACTCCGCACTTTGGTTTGCAGCTCTTGTGTCGCAACTTGAGGTGCACCGTCAACACGTGCTGCTCATTTGTGACGAATGACACATGCTTTATCGATGAGCACTTCGACGTGTGAGCAACTGTTTGGTCCGGGGCACAAAGACAAGCCACGGTTCTTCACATTTGGCTCAGGGTTTTCAAGGGCATCTCCATCAGCTACCCCGCTTCCCCCGTGGCTCCCCTTCTTCCGGGCCTAGGACGGCAAGTTCGGCGAGGTGATCCGTCACTGCAACCTGCGCGTGGCCTACATGAAGCAGGACCACCTGAAGACTTTGGGACCCTACTTTGCACCCCGGCCGAGAGGAGCGGAAGTGGGAGATCCTGGCAGCTCGCCTTCTTTTCTGCGACGCGCCCGTTGCCGCCATAGCTTTTGGCCTCAGGCAAAGAAGGATAACTTGATTGGTATCCCTCCCCCTTGTCGTACTCGCGGCTCTTTAGGCCAAAACGGCCTCGAAGCCTCGAAGCCATGGCGAATGCGCGCAACTTCGTCTTTGTCGCTTGGATTCTGGGGGCAAAAGCCTGCACCGTAGGATCAAGATCCGGGTGCGGGAACGGCGTTTGCGTGGCGGATGGCTTCTTTGACAACAATCCCTTTTTCAACAAGTGCGAGTGCGACTTTTGCTATGCTGGCGCCGGAAGCTGTGATTCCAACACCTGCATCGTTTGGATGGTGCCGCTTGGTATGTGCTTGTGTTGTATAAGCTGCGTGCTTGGCTGCGTTTGCGGGTGCATTCGCTCCGCGGTGAAAGCAAACTTCGAGGCCCTGGCCGACGCGGCCGCGGCGGCGCAAGCAGAGGTGGCACGGCCGCCGGCAGGACCGCCGGTGGTGGTGGAGGCCAAAGTCGTAGACGCCACGGTGGTGGGAGCCAACGTAGCCTGAGAGTCTGAGAGGAACGAAGGATCTGGCAATGACCTTGCGGTGGCCTTGCGGTCAAAGCGCATAGGATGGATCCAAAGCGTTCCCTGAGCTCTGCCTAAGTGGGGTGGAGCAAACCGAGCTGGGCTTCGCTGGGGTGCCGGGGAGGGTCCAGCCTATGGGGTTTGATCAATATTCCATTTAGGGCCCCAAATGACCATGGGTAGCTTTTCCCATGTGGGAAATATCATCTTTTAGTGGGTTTCCCAAATGGTCATCCCATGTAAAGGACCTGTTGACTGTTGATCAACCCCCATATGTTAAGGGCAAGTTGAGCACAGAACAAACAGGCGCGGCAGCCACCCATACCATACAATTCAAACTGGCATGAGGTGGCAGTTTTGAATGTCCGCTTTGCTGGTCAAGAGTTTCCTGCGCACTCACAGTGGTTTTTTGGGCAGATGCACAGTCCGGGAGTGTGTGAAGAAAGAAAACATGTATTCAGTATGTGAGTGCACGAAGCGCCAGTGAACATGCACCACCATAGTGGAAGCTAAGGAAGTGCGTCGAGTCTTTGCACTCCTTGGTTTCCCCAGAAGCCCAATGAAAGGCAAACCAAGCTCTTCCTGGAAGCACGGAAGTGATTGGCAAGTCTCGAAGTGAACTTAGGACACATCTCCGCTGAATTATATCACCCAGCGATTCAAGAACGGCTATGACGAGGCACGGAGCAAGTTACTGGCTTGTAAGGAGCAGCCAGTGTCAGATTGCCATGTCCATCGTAACTGTAAAGCTTGGAGCGTATTGAGGCAAGCGGATATGAAGTGCTCTATGGATTCATGTGTTGTTATGCACCTATGAACATATTGATTGTTTCGTTGCACTGTGCCACAATCAACACCAAGGTAAATATTCAGGCTAGCTCAGGAGGCCAACTCTGCTTCACTAGCAGACCTGGAGGCCTCATGGAGCAAGTGCTCTACGCGTTTGCAAAATCTCACCTTTGACTGGTGACTTGCGAATGGGCACCAGCCATTTTGAGGATGTTTCCCACTGAACACGAAAGCCATTTGAATGTGTCTGAGACACACCACCTTTTCAGCTTTTCTTCAAGCATCTCAAAAGGGGTATCTTCTGATCAAAACGGTTGCTCAGTTTCATTGTTTGGTTTGCACCAAGCAGGTCCCTTTGACCTCCAAACTGAGCGCCCTAGCCTTTGGGCAACCCGATCATGCGCTCCTTTGGACAAAACCTACATGGCGTTGGCAACTGGCCCCAAGCTGAAACCAGCGGAAACCATCCATTTTTCAACCAAACTAACCTTCACTCTTCTTGGCGAGTTTGTTTGTTTTTTGCTGGTTCTGTTCACTTTCAAGTACAGGCCTGCAAAAAAAGTGAATCCTTTTGTTGCCACCGCCCATGGCGTTTGTTTCTTTGTGAAGTCACCGACGGCACGCCGAGCCCGGCCCGAAGGCGCCTTCCGGGCGCCTTCCGCTCGCCGGCCGGGCGGCAGGAGCTGCAGAAGCGCCTCATCGAGCCGGAGGACGACGAGGAGGCGGCGCGCCGCGCGACCCTGGCCAAGCAGCGGCCTGGAACAGAGGAAGTCCAGGTGTGTTTCGAGAAACGGGCCAAAGCACAAAGACAGTTTTTGGGTGTTTTGTTTGATTGGGGTGTGTTTGAAAGGGACACTTTCCTTTTTTTTGTTGTGTCTGTGTGTGTGTGTGTGTGTTTGTGTGAAAGGGAAACCACAGTGAAACCGCCCATTTCGCGTCTCCTTCGGGACAAACCTCCAGCGCCCGGAAGACGGGGTTGGCTCCAAGGCACGGCAAGTACGGGAACCAGGTGGGGGAGCTGCTGAGCCGCTCCAAGCAGGGCAGCCAGCTCTACTACGAGGCTTGAGAACCAAGCGCTCGAAGCTTCAGCAGAAATCCCCTGGATTTTCCCAGTTGGCCCTCCAAACGTGGCAGGTTCAATGGAACCCGGTGGTGTGATCAACTTTTGGAGGGGAAATCCAGTGACCCCCTGCCTTACATTTGAAACCACCCCAATAGCTAAAGCTTGTTTTAGCAAATGCGGAAAAAAAAAACAAACGGCTCTCCTGGGCTGATTTGAAGCCGCCACGCGCACATAATCATAGACACAAGCGGGGGAAGCGGGAGAGCACGATTGAACCTCATCTTAGAAGAGCCATTGCAAAGATGATAGCAGCGCATTGGGCTCCTTCTCGTCCTTGTCAAAAGTGTGAGCAGCATTTTGGTCATGGTCGAAATCGAAATTGCCACAACGGCATTCAATCAAAAAGGGCCCCCCGTGAACAGGTTCCTCTGAAAGGCCTGCAAGACTGTCATTCTGCAGCAACCCCTGGCTTTGAGAGGAGAAGGGTATTGTTCTTCTGAGTTCAAAGTAGATTCTAGATGGGCTCCGTCTGTCGCGTTACCGTTTTCCTGTTTGGCAGGTGCGCTGGGAAGGCCTTGACGATCCCAAGCAGACGCTCGCCGGTTGGCTGTTGCGTCTTTTGCTTGCGTGCACGCATATATATATATATATATGTGCATTTGTGTGTCTCTGTGTGCGTGCATTTGTGTGTCTGTGTGTCTGTGTGTGTGTGTGGGCACGCATATATATATATATATATATGCACCCCCCCCCCCCATGGACCCTGGTTTTACTGCCTTTTGGGGATGGCAAATCTAGAATTTCCAAATTTATATTCTCGAAATTTCCAATTGTGGGTCCCCAAAGCGTGATAATTTGGAGCCCGGAGTCCTCCACAATGTCCCAGTATGATACCCTTTGCACATAAGATGTTACTTCAACTAGAATTGAAATTGTGAATATAGTTTAGTATGGATATAGTTTTCAAAAATGTGTTTATGTTCAATTACAGCTTAAACAAGCAAATCCTTTCCAAATAGCAGCTACATGAAAATGTAAATATATATTTTCGGCTAAACTCCAACTAATCTATAACACAAGAAGTTAGATGTAAGTGTTTCCCAAATAGAATCCAAGTGGTAAGTATAATCTAAGACGAACACAACTCAATTTGCTTTTGATAATATCAAGTGAATAGAGACTACATCTCAAATATAATTCATATTAAATATGGCTAAACATTTGGAAATCAAAAATAGGATTTGTGTTGTTTACATTCTGGCCCTTTTGTAGCATAAGAAAGGTCCGACATTGAACTTGTTAGACGGTGTTCCAAAGGCAAATTTCAAGGGAAGAGAGGTTCAAAATCTAAAACTATCTCGAAACAGGGATTCTAGCTAAACCGTTGTATTTAAAGTTCTATTTGCGCAGGAAAGTTAATTCTATGTCAAAAGGTGGAGGTAGTAGATGAGCAAATGTGGACAGGTAGTTGAAGAGGGTGGGGGACGGTGTGTGAACGTACATACATATGTATATCTATATATACACATACATACACACATATATAGTACCCCCAATGATCCTGCGCCTCCTCATAAAATACTGGAAAATGCAGTATTTTTGAGCGTTGCACCTGCCTTTGTTTACCTCCTGGAAAGGGGTCAACATGAGCATAGCTGACATGAAGCTCACCAAAAGCACTTGAAAGTTTGTCTAACCAATAGCTTGAAAGTGTGTCCACTGGATCGCCAAGCACTTGAAAATTTGCTACTATCGGATGGAAGATTCAATATTGAAGATTACACAGAACACTTTCCTGAGAATTGTCAATCCTGGCCAAACCCAAATAGCATTCAAGTTATTCTAACACTTGAAAGTGCTTTACCACTGGATTGGGGATTCAATATTGGGGAGCCCACAAACCACCACTTTCCTGAGAATCATCCATCCTGGTCAACCCCTAAAATGTTCAAGTTGCTCTATCAAATCAAACATCCGTTACCACTGGATTGCACGGACAACTTTTCCGAGAATCTTATTGAACACCGAGAGTATTGGGACAACCCTGGAATTTTTAAAAATTTGTAAAAAAATATGGGATTCAAGATTCAAGATTCAAGATTCCCAGAAAATAGTGTCTCACATTCTTGAATCTTGAATCTTGAATCCCATAATTTTTAAGAATTTTTAAAAATGTCTGAGTTGTTCTTGTATTCTTGGATGCATTCAAACTCTTTCAGATTGCAGGTGCTGATGTCATTGCTTTATCACATCTGTATGCATGCATGCGTATCATATACATGTACGACCCTCCCCCCAATTTTGACACAAATCCAAGAAGCAAAAAGAAGCATAAAACACTGGAAAATACAGGTCAACCGCACCAAACCAGGGTCCATGGGGGGGGGGTACCATATATATATATATGCATTTGTGTGTCTCTGTGTGCGTGCATTTGTGCATTTGTGTGTCTGTGTGTGTGTGGGTGTGTGGGTGTGTTACTGTGAGTGGGTGTGTGTGTGTGTGGGTGTGTCTGTGTGTGTGTGTCACTGTGTGCTTTCTTGCTTGCTTGCTTGCTTGCTTGCTTTGCTTTGCTTTGCTTTGCTTTGCTTTGCTTTGCTTTGCTTTGCTTTGCTTGCTTGCCTGTTTGCCTGTTTGCCTGTTTGTTTGTTGTCTGTTTGTCTGTTTGTTTGTTCGTTGTTTGTTTGATTATTTGATTGTTTGATTGTTTGTGTGTTTGTTTTTGTTGCCTGCTTGCTTGTTTGGTTGTTTGTGTGTTTGCTTGATTGCTTGCTTGCTTGCTTGCTTGCCTGCCTGCCTGCCTGCCTTCCTGCCTGCCTGCCTTGCTTGATTTGCTTGCTCGTGTCGTGCAGTGCCCGCCCCGTTTTCAAGCATTGGCAGGCTCTTTGTGGAAAGGGCTTTGGTTCCCCTTGCAGGAGATGGCCAAAGTTTTAACATGGACATTTGCGTGGCAGTTTTTTGACGGAATGTGTCATTCCGGCTGACCTCAGGAACACCATGGTGTCTCTGAAGACTTTGCGCGACATGGGTGTCTGGGATGCGGGGATGATGCGTCTCAAGAGGAGCCCCTCCCCCAAATGGCAATGGCCAGTTCCCTTTGGGTGTTCTGGCAAGCCAGCCAAAGGGGATAAACTCTTTTGAAACATTCCCATTTGCACTTGCGAGCGAGCTGGTTGTGCCCCTTGAAGATTGCCTTTCTTTCAGCCATATTGCGGTGCAGTTTTCCTGATGTGGAGTTCTCATTTGTTTGGCCGCCCAGCAATTTCATCCTGGGTCCCTCGAGAGCTCCAGCAAATCGTAGGGCTTCGGACTGACCGCCCGTTAGTCCGGCGGTTTTGGGGGATGAGTCATTGGCGGGGGATGCCCACCAGCTTTTTCTGTCGAGTCATTTTCTCTCCTCCCGAGCCAGACAGGTCGCCCCTCCCTTGCCCGCCCTTTCCGGAAGACTTGTTTCTCAGGAGGGATTTGCATTGCCGCAAAAGGGGACGCGGCCAACGCTACGTCACTTGCAGGAATCTGTTATGTCAAAAGGTGAGCTATTTTTACAGGGTTTTTTCCCACTGCCGTGCGGCAAGTGGTGGGGCAAGAATCAAACGAGCAAGAATGCCGCCAACCCTTTAAACCAGCCTAAGCCAAACCAGCCAACACCCTAAACCTATCCTAAATATTCCTAAACCAGTTTTCCGCTTGTGACTAAACCATTGCTAGTAATGTTGATGGTACTGGCGCAGAATGCAGGCATTTTCAGGCCTCCCCTCTCTGTAGGCTTTTTCACCCCCACAGCCAGAAGTAGACAGCGGTCTTGGGCAGATGGGAGAATACTTTGTTTTTGATCCCTGCACCCCATTCGCTCGGTCTTGCGCTCTAAACCTACACTAAACCGACCTCAAATCATCCTGAAGCAACCCTAGACCAAAACCACCGTGGAAGACAATTTAATCTTAGGAACGAGAATTAGACCTACAATCATTTATTATTTACTTTCAGGTCCTTTTCATATTGTAGACCTATCCACATTCCATCTTGATTCATTTTGGAGGTGTAATCACCCACATATTAATGCCTCAGAGATAAGCATCCATCATTTCCCCATCAATCTTCCCTGTCAAGCCTGGATTTTATGCCAGAATTCTTCTTTTTGGGTCGGTTTCCTCCAAATTTAGAATTATGATTCAGAACAACAAATCCGCGTTGCAAGCAAACGGCACCCCCGTTTCAACAGGCTTTTGTTTTTCTCTTCTTCTCCGCAGCTTCGGAAGAGGTTGGATCACAGAAGGCTTTTGGCACGCCGCGTCGCGAGTCGAACGAGGCCTGGACAAGGTGGTCATCGCCTGCGACGAGCGCATCGCTGCCAAGGCGGCGGGCCTGGACCAGCGTCCTCTGACGCGCCGCCTGGACCTCAGCTCCTTTCGCTCTTTTTTCTTCTTCTTTTTCTCGGAAGGGGTGATCAGAACCGGTGACCTTCGGAATTCGCAAAGCAAGGGGTCATGTCATTTCCAGCAAGACGCCAAACACCGGCAGTTTGCGAAGTCCTCACTTCGTATCAGATGTCTTCACAGCCACTGCACGGCCTGGAGATCAGGTGAGATCGTGAAGCACTGCGAGGGCTTCGGAATCGACGAGGCGCGTGGTGTTTGCTGCAGTATCATGAGCATCAGTACACGGGACCCGTATTCTATTTGCCCCGAGCTTCTTTCGGCCGATGGATCCATCAGGAACCATCTCCCGCTCAGGAGATGTGCTGCAACCAGCAGATCCGCGGCTTCTCCGCCGGCCAGAAGGCCGAATCTCTTGGATGTCTCTGGCAAGAGGGCTGGGGCAAAACAGCCCCGTGAAGCATAGCTGCGTTGTCAGACAGGCAGATGCACACTCACGACTTGGTTTTGATAGACTCGATTCAGAGCTTTAAAGTCATTGTCTTGGGTTTTTCTATCCGCGCTGCTATCAAGCAAGAAAGGCGCTCACGGAGTTCTCGCGGGGGCCGGAAGATTCGATCTCAGTTCTATATATTATCCGCTGCCTGCAGTGCCGTCATGGGCGTTCAAATAGAACTGAGAAGAACACCAGGCGCGTACAGGGGGGGTTGCCTTTAGTGTCATAGTCATAAGCCAGCTGAAGGTTTGTACTTGTACCATTTGGAAAGCTGAAATCCAGTTTTCTGTATGTTCAAAGGTAAAAGCTGCCCAAGGTTTACCGGTTGAGCTGTCAGGCACTAAACATGCCTGGTCACTATTCTTAGTCGGCGCAGCTGTCTTTCCTGCGACCTGTCACCAGCAAGAAGGTGTTTTCCCAACCACATGTTGCAGTCAAGTGCTTTCACTGTTTTGGTTTCTGACTTTGGGGGTGTGCCTTCCTTTTTCTCGTGTAGACAGTGAACCCGCGCGCAGAGACTTGGAACATGAAACTCTGCTGCTTGAAAGTTCGGCAGGAATTGGCCAGCTCAGAGGGGGAGGGAGAGAAAGGGAGAGAGATCACAGCGTTGATGGTGGATGACCCGAAATTAGCAAAACACAAATCCTGCAGGGAAAAACAAGTTTCGCTGCTCAGATATCTCCCGAAGGATAGATTCAAGCAACAGACTTGATTCCTTCCCAAGTCAGACACACACACACACAACAGAGTTTAGGAGCCAAGCACCCCAACCTTTGGAAAGGTACAAATTGTCAACCGCTTGCGACGCCCTGCAGTTTCGGGTTGTTGACTGGAGCCGAACATGTTTGGTGCTGCCATTTGGCTTCCCTTACCAGGGAGTGGATGAATGTGTGTTACAGACAGGTTTCGCCCAGAGGTCCGAAGGGAGGCTGTGTTGAGCCGTGAGGTGCGACTCTCTCTTGCAGCCATGCACCTTAACGGCAGAAAGGTGGAGGAGTTCCGATGCTTGCGATCGGTGCGAAATCGGCAGACATGGAAAGACCCTTCTAAACTATCCAACTGGTGGTTTCCTTGGGGACCGAAGCCTGGGTTCATTCCCACATTCCCGACTGAGCACCAGCAAGGATGAAATTGTTTGGTTCCGATGCGGAGATTTGGTAGTTTGAAGATCACGCATTATTTGATTGATTCATTGGATGTAACTCGCTCCTTTCCTCGCGCTTTCTTTCGCCGCTGCGCTCTCTCTCTCTCTCTCTCTCTCTCTCTCTCTCTCTCTCTCTCTCTCTCTCTCTCTCTCTCTCTCTCTCTCTCTCTCTCTCTCTCTCTCTCTCTCGTCGGTCTTTTCTTTGCTCACGGGCCTAATTCCATGCAATTGTTGGGGCCCCGCTGATCGGATTGTTTTGCCACACCTCTCGGATTGTGGGGATCCATGGGCGGTCTCAGGTGCGCTTCTTTCACACATTGAAAGTCATTCGGGTAGTGTGGAATCGGGCGAGACGTATGGGACTGAAATGACGTGTGCATCAACAGTCCCTGCGCCGGATTTTCTCTTAGAAGACAAGACGCCCCTGACCCGATAGCTCCACGGATCCTTTGGGTTCAGGTTCTGGACGAAGCCTCACTTCATCGCGGTGGATGAGCCAACGAACTACCTGGACGTGGAGACGGTGGAGGCTTTGTCCAAGGCGCGTGTTGCGGGGCAGATGTGTTTGGATGGTTTGAAGGGAAGCCAATGGACAAAACAAGCTTGGGGATATCAGCAGCATGATGAGGCTCGTGCGCAATTCGATTCGGGCGATTACAGGTCCTTTCCTCCCGACTGGTTGGATCGAGATGTGAGAGCTTTGATCTAGTCTGTTGGGGGGTGGGGGAGGGGGTGGGGGGTGACAGCTTGCGTGAGGCCCTGAACAACTTCAGAGGCGGCGCCTTGGCTGCTGGGGTTGTTTGGATATTCGGAAGGAGGTTGAGAGTGAGTTGTATCAGGTGACCAGGTGGTGGTTTGGATTGGTTTGGATGGGTTTGGATTTGTTTGGATTGGTTTGGATTGGTTTGGATTGGTTTGGATTGGTTTGGATTGGTTTGGATTTGAAGTCCTGGTTCTCGAGATGGTACATGGTCATGGTAAATGGAGAACCATCCCCGAACCTCCAAACCACCAATCCCAATTGGCAGGAAGCCGAAATTGTACATGGAAAATATCTTCCGATCTTTTTGCGATAGGCCGCTGCAGTTGTTGCACGGTTCACAATTGCGCTCACACTGACAAGCTTTGTGACCTCTCCTGTCAACAGGGGATTTCATTCAGCTTGCAATGGAGGCTGGGTCCGGAGTGTTTGATGCTCACCGTTCTGCCTTTTCACCCCGAGTGGGAAGCGCATACAGCGGGGGCCCACTTCGATGTTTGACAGGCGGTTGGCCCAGTTGCAACCTGGCCATGCTCGGCCGCATACTTGTCCGTGAAAACGGCACCTACTTGCCATTCTGTGGGCGCTTCTGGGTCCTGCGCAAAAGAAAAGGGAAAAACAAGTTCAGCGGCTTTCTTTGCTCACGGGGTTCTGGCACGCCAGGAAGCCTGAGGCCTCTTTGGTGCTACAGAAATAATGAGAAATAATGGGAGGGACAAGGGACGTGCTTTGGACGGGGACATTGACATCCATCGCCGGCCTGCTGACCATGGGTGTGGTTTTTCGGGAACTCCTCGGGGCTCCGTCGCACGGCGTGCTTCGCTGTTCACGAGTTGGGACTTTTTGCCATGGGAGAATCAAAGGGACGGCACTTGAAACGGGGGCACCGAGACATTCGAGGCATCCTCATGATCGAGCCCAAGATGGACTTCGTGGAGAAGGTTTGCAACGAGACCTGGACCTTGGAGGACGGCAAGATCACGATCCAGCCGGGGCCCCCGGTCTCGTGTGGTTCTTTAAAGTGGTTCTATTTGAGGGCTGGCTTACTTTATGGGCAGTCCCTTTTTAGGATGTCACTTTGCAGGCCCATCAAAATCAGTGGGTGAAACCGAATAAGCAAGGGTTCGCCGAGGGGAGAGTGTGTTGGAGATGTGGCGTAGTGGTGGGACTGGCCCTAGGACTGGTCTTGCCGTTACCGCCGTGGTGCGCATTGCTGGCAGAAAACTGACCGAAGCTCTTTTCTGGGGCTCAAACAGCAGAGCTTCTTCCTCTGAAACATCCATGTTGCAGCCAGAGTATTCCCTTCCACAAACCTCCAAGAGTCTCAACCGGGTAAGACCTCGCCCGGTGCTTTCTTCCCTTCAGAGAGTCTTGGTGCAAATCGGTGGGCTCTCAGGAAGCTGGACAACGGCCTCAAGCGTGTGGCCTAGAGAGGCGAGGAGGCAAGTCCGGGGGTGCTGAGCAATCTGTTTTGGGATGTTTGGGTCCTGGAGAGCCAAGTCCAATGCTACGTCGCCCCTTGCGTGGCTGGCTGCATTCCGGCTTCTGCTAACCTTTGCGTTGCCTCTTCAGGGTGCCATGCGCGTGAAAGGGGCGAGAGCAATTGGGTGTAAGATTTTGCATCGGGGTCCGGAGCAACTTGTTCAGGGCAACTCTCAAATTTCATGAACTGGCTAGAGAGGGCGAGTGCAGGCTGCACGCACCAAGTGTGGCGCCTAAACAAGCAACACTCGAGGGTGCTGAGCATGGGCATGTCTCCAGCCAGGCCATGGTGCCCACCGATCCAAGCAGAACACGGCTCATCACAGGCAATGGAAGGTGCAAACGGACAGCAGACGTCACTAGGTACAAACTAGGCCACGGCGCCGTAAGCGACCGTGGAGCCCCGCAACACCATCATTGCATTGGTCAAAGCCAAGCCTATGGCAATTACCAGTGCAGTTTCAAGATTGGCAAATGGAGGCATTGTCTCACGTGCTGTATTTTGCAGAACGTTTATCCTATTTTCTGCCTTTTCCAATAGAGCGCAGCACAATTGCTGCCACAGTTCCCGCGCAGCTATTTTTTTTCCGACTGCCGTTCTTGCTTGTTTGAGCGGCCTGAGCTTCTTGTTCTTCTGTTGAGCATGTGTATCGATTCAAGCCAATGCAAGCGCAAGAACAGCAGTTCTGGTGGGTTGAACGCCAATGCAAGTTGACCAAAACAACCGTTGGCTTCTGGTGTCTCTGACAGGCAACCTGCACGCACAACAGACCTGTGGGCATGACGCGCAAGTGGCACAGTCAGCTCATATGTCCTTGCCCGCAGGTCTATGCCCGTCTATGTGACTATGTGTGGTCAGTCTGTTTGCGCGTAAAGCGGCCTGTGCATGGACAGCGTGCGCAAGGACGGTGCGTGCACAGAGTTTCCGGCACGCACGACCGGCGTGCGCGTGCTGTGTGTCTGTCTGCATGAGTGTCTGCATTGGCTGACGCAAGGTCAACATGTCTGCAAACACCCGACCAGCCACCCCACCCCCTCAACCCCAAAAGATGGCTTGAGAGCTCAGGATCGCTAATCAGAAGATTATAGGAAGGCCACGCAATGTAACAACGTAATGCTACTATGATAGAAGTTCTGGTTTTCTAGAGAGCATCCCGTTCTCTGATGAATATCATGCTATTCTCATGCGGACTGATATAAATGTACCGGAGATTCCAAACATTAATCCAGAGAATCAGTAGCACATTCAAAGCCCTTACATGCTTTTTGTGAATGCATACAATATAGTAAACTCGGAACATTGTAGCTTGTTTAGCGATTTGTTGCTGGATTATTTTTGGTGTTGCTTGGGTTTCCCATTAGTTGGCTTGGTTTTTTCCCATTAATTGTTTGATATGACTCTTAAGGATATTCCAAATTGGGCAGTGATTCTAATGCCAAGCCGCCTCCACGGCAGGCGAGAGATCGCCGATTTCACCAGGCATGCCCGTAAGTCTGAGGCAGGCTAGAACTCGACTCAGCAGTGCTCTTGAGAATGCGTGTGCTCTCACAGGTTGTACAAATAGAGGACACCATGTCTGTGTGTTTCCAGCCAAGCATTTGATCAGTCATATGGGGATGTCTAAACATGATGGGTCGTCTTTGGGATGCTCTTCAGCAAGAAGACCAGTTGCTTGGACGAGCCCGAACCCTTTTGAGACAGGTCCAATGTATGCAAGGTTGTGTTCTTTGAGCCAACAAGACACCCGCCAAAGAAAACACATCCTCGTTGTTGGCTGACCTGTTGAATGGGGTCTAACACATGGGTTCTGTTCGGATGCTACACAACTGATGGTCCTCCAAACGATCGGAACCCGTTTTTTTATTTTATTTCTTACTCGTCAACGGGTCTTTTTTTTTTTCTGTTTTCTTCTTTAACAAACGGATCAAACTAAAAAAAAGAAAGAAACAAAAACCACCTGATCCCTGGTGCGGGTACTGCAAACCTGAGTTCCCCGACATGATGCTTAGCGCGAGTACAACCTGGAATCTTTTCCGTGCACTCACCCAACGTTTTTCGCTTGTGTACAGTACAGCTTTGCCACCGTCAGGGGAGCGGGCACGGCGCACCCGCAAGAGGCACATTCGTCTCCGCAAGCCGGGTCTGTGCACAGTGCCCGAAAGCCGTGCTGTCATTGAGCAGATGCAACTCGCATTTCGTCGTTAGGTTGCAGCGCTGCAAAGGCTGCTGAAATCCCCCCGAGGTGACAGCCAACCTGACAGTGGATTCAAAGCGAGTCACACTGGGTTTCCGGAGATTCGCTGACCCAGTGTGCGTCTTGTGGATTTTGCCGGGGCGGTCAAATGTGCCGTTCTTTGTGCGGGTGTCTTCCATCCGGGCTACGGGGTGTCCTTCGCACCTGCGGGGCCCCGGTTCTTTGGCGCTGGGGCGACATGGGCTTCGCTCCAGAGCCTCGGCCGCAAACGCTGTGGGGTTGCCTGAATATTACATATTATATATATATATATCTATGTAATGTATGTATGTAATGTAATGTAATGTAAGGTAATGTAATGTAATTTTCTGTAATGTAATGTATTGTATTGTAATGTAATGTAATGTAATAAAAAGTAATGTAATGTAATGTAATGTTAGGTAAGGTAAGGTAAGGTAAGGTAAGGCAAGGCAAGGCAAGGCAAGGCAAGGCAAGGCAAGGCAAGGCAATGCAAGGTAAGGTAAGGTAAGGTATGGTATGGTATGGTATGGCATGGCATGGCATGGCATGGCATGGCATGGTATGGTATGGTATGGTATGGTATGGTATGTATGGTATGTATGGTATATATGTATATATGTATGTAATGTAATGTAATGTAATGTAATGTAATGTAGTGTAATGTAATGTAATGTAGTGTAGTGTAATGTAATGTAATGTAATGTAAGGTAAGGTAAGGTAAGGTAAGGTAAGGTAAGGTAAGGTAAGGTAAGGTAAGGTGAGGTGAGGTGAGGTGAGGTGAGGTGAGGTGAGGTGAGGTGAGGTGAGGTGAGGTGAGGTGAGGTGAGGTGAGGTGAGGTGAGGTGAGGTGAGGTGAGGTGAGGTGAGGTGAGGTGAGGTGAGGTGAGGTGAGGTGAGGTGAGGTGAGGTGAGGTGAGGTGAGGTGAGGTGAGGTGAGGTGAGGTGAGAGTGAGGTCAGGTGTGATGGTGAAGGTGAGGTGTGGTGTGGTGTGGTGTGGTGTGGTGTGGTGTGGTGTGGTGTGGTGTGGTGTGGTGTGGTGTGGTGTGGTGTGGTGTGGTGTGGTGTGGTGTGGTGTGGTGTGGTATGTATGGTATGTATGGTATGTATGTATGTATGTATGGTATGTATGTATGTATAGTATGTATGTATGTATGTATGGTATGGTAGTATGTATGTATGTATGGTATGGTAGTATGTATGGTATGGTAGTATGTATGGTATGTAATGTATGTATGTATGTATGCATGTTATGTAATGTAATGTAATGTAATGTAATGTAATGTAATGTAGTGTAGTGTAGTGTAGTGTAATGTAATGTAATGTAATGTAATGTACTGTACTGTACTGTACTGTACTGTACTGTAATGTAATGTAATGTAATGTAATGTAATGTAATGTAATGTATGGTAATGTAATGTATGGTAATGTAATGTATGGTAATGTAATGTATGGTAATGTACTGTATGGTAATGTAATGTATGGTAATGTAATGTATGGTAATGTAATGTATGGTAATGTAATGTATGGTAATGTAATGTATGGTAATGTAATGTATGGTAATGTAATGCATGGTAATGTAATGCATGGTAATGTATGGTAATGTAATGTAATGTAATGTAATGTAAGGTAAGGTAAGGTAAGGTAAGGTAAGGTAAGGTAATGTAATGTAATGTAATGTAATGTAATGTAATGTATGTAATGTAATGTAATGTAATGTAATGTAATGTAATGTATGTAATGTATGTAATGTATGTAATGTATGTAATGTATGTAATGTATGTAATGTATGTAATGTATGTAATGTATGTAATGTATGTAATGTATGTAATGTATGTAATGTATGTAATGTATGTAATGTATGTAATGTATGTAATGTATGTAATGTATGTTATGTATGTATGTATGTATGTATGTATGTATGTATGTATGTATGTAATGCATGTAATGCATGTCATGTATGTACTGTATGTAATGTATGTTGTAATGTATGTACTGTATGTAATGTAATGTAATGTAATGTAATGCAATGTAATGCAATGTAATGCAATGCAATGCAATGTAATGTAATGTAATGTAATGTAATGTACTGTACTGTACTGTACTGTACTGTATGTATGTATGTAATGTATGTATGTATGTATGTAATGTATGTATGTATGTATGTATGTATGTATGTAATGTAATGTAATGTAATGTAATGTAATGTAATGTAATGTAATGTAATGTAATGTAAATGTAACTGTAATGTAATGTAATGTAATGTAATGTAATGTAATGTAATGTAATGTAATGTAATGTAATGTAATGTATGTAAATGTAAATGTAAATGTAAATGTAATGTATGTAATGTAAATGTAAATGTAAATGTAATGTAATGTAATATAATGTAATGTAATGTAATGTAATGTAATGTAATGTATGTAAAAATGTAAATGTAAATGTAAATGTAAATGTATGTAATGTAGTGTAACGTAATGTAATGTAATGTAATGTAATGTAATGTAATGTAATGTAATGTAATGTAATGTATGTATGTATGCATGTATGTATGTATGTATGTATGTATGTAATGTATGTATGTATGTATGTATGTAATGTATGTATGTATGTATGTATGTAATGTAATGTATGTATGTATGTATGTATGTATGTATGTATGTATGTATGTATGTATGTATGTATGTATGTATGTATGTATGTATGTATGTGTATGTATGTAATGTATGTATGTATGTATGTATGTATGTATGTATGTATGTATGTATGTATGTATGTATGTATGTATGTATGTATGTATGTATGTATGTATGTATGTATGTATGTATGTATGTATGTATGTATGTATGTATGTATGTATGTAATGTATGTATGTATGTAATGTATGTATGTATGTATGTATGTATGTATGTATGTATGTATGTATGTAATGTATGTATGTATGTATGTATGTATGTATGTATGTATGTATGTATGTATGTATGTATGTATGTATGTATGTATGTAATGTATGTATGTATGTATGTATGTATGTATGTATGTATGTATGTATGTATGTATGTATGTATGTAATGTATGTATGTATGTATGTATGTATGTATGTATGTATGTATGTATGTATGTATGTATGTATGTATGTATGTATGTATGTATGTAAATATGCATGTATGTAAATATGTATGTATGTAATGTATGTAGTGTATGTAATGTATGTAATGTATGTAATGTATGTAATGTAATGTAATGTAATGTGATGTAATGTGATGTAATGCAATGCAATGTAATGTAATGTAATGCTATGCTATTCTATGTTATGTTATGTTATGTTATGTATGTATGTATGTATGTATGTATGTATGTATGTACTTAATGTATGTATGTAATGGCATGTATGTATGTAATGTAATGTAATGTAATGTAATGTAATGTAATGTAATGTAATGCTATGCTAGGCTATGTTATGTTATGTTATGTATGTATGTATGTATGTATGTATGTATGTATGTATGTATGTATGTAATTAATGTATGTATGTAATGGTATGTATGTATGTAATGTAATGTAATGTAATGTAATGTACTGTAATGTAATGTAAAGTAATGTGATGTGATGTACTGTAATGTAATGTAATGTAATGTATGTATGTATATATATATATATATACAGATAGTCTCAGATAGCATTGAATCTGTGCCAGGGTCACTGCCACCTGAGGTACCAGGATCAAAAAACGCTGGAATTGTTTGGGTGAAGAGGGAACATCATCAATCATCACGCCTTCAACAAGGAACACCATTCGTCCCCGGTTTTTCGTACTTGAGTATCGTTCTGGTATTTATTGGTGGTTTGGATTGGGTGGTTGGATGTTTGAACGACAGTTCCGTTTGAAAAAAGTGGAGAAGATACCCCCCGTTTCCAAACCACCAATCCAAACCACAAACCGGGGGTAAGGTGACTCGCTTTTTGACCAGGTTGCCAACTCTCTTTATGGGTTGTGGGACAATCAGACACATGGCTGTGGGTCAAAAATAGGTACCCAAGATGGAACCTTGGCAACTTGAAATATGGACTAAAACCTGCGGTCCCCTAGTGGTTTAATTTTGACCCACACCCACATCACACGGCCGTTGTGTTTTTGAGCATGTACACTTCATGCCGTTGGCGATTCATGCACACCTTGCGTCGATCCAGGCGCCGTGCCTACTGCGAGTTTGCGGGGATGATGTGGCTGCGTGCCAACATTAGGGCCACCTCCCTCCCACACAAGCATGCACGCATGCAAGCGCGACAGCACGCCAGCACGCCCGCACGCCAGCACGCCAGCAAGCCAGCAAGCCAGCAAGGCAGCAAGCCAGCAAGCGAGCAAGC